CTGATGACAAGATGGAGTGGGGACCCGCTGATTATATATATTGTATGAAATTGTGTTATATCAACCTGGTCCTATAGTCACTCTATTACAGATGGAGTAATGTAACTAAAGTAATCCCTCCCTGGGATTATTAAAGTATTTCTGATTCCTGGTTGATGGGACAGGTGTTGTGAATGAAACGGTGCCCAGCTTGAAAGAGCTCCTGTGTGTCGCTGAATGTGAGCATTGATGACTGAAAGACATCTTCTGCCTCCATTTATCTGTTTACTACAGTCTGTTCAATTCATGTTAATGTGGATTTAAAGACATTTCAATTCCGGAGGGAATATAAAAAAAAAAATGACCCCCATGCAGTGTCTCCGCGGACCCCCTAGGGGTCACGGACCCCCTGTTGAAGACCTCTGCTGTAGAGTCAATGACAAAATGAAAGTGAATATTGTCGTCACATGCTCTTCCAGAAGGAGTGAACCCTGTAGATTCAATGACTCGATGAATTTGACTAGGTTTTAGTAGAAAACATCTAAGCAATCTGACTCCACCAAATTATCAGTGAGATGTCAGGCTGTGAATTGGCACTATATGAATAACTAACTGAAAAGAGTATAATCCAAAAAGAGAAAAATCCTTCTACTTACATTATTTTGTATACTTTTTAAATGTTTAGATAAATTTTGTTTTTAACACCCATAGTGCTGCACAGATGTTTTAAGTTGAATGGACTGTATGACACATCAAGGTGCACATTAAATATTTATTAATTTAGCATAACATCACCCATGCAGTCAGAGAAGGCCACCTGCTGCATACAGCATGACGGCAAATCCAAATACAGCAGAACATTATCAGGAGAAAATCCAGAAGCTTGGTTGACATCAGTGTCTTAATACATAGTAAAGAAGTCCTTTATTTCAGTACTGCGCACCTTCTTCTTCTTTATAGGCAAAATAGACAGTGACAGGTCCAACACTCGTCTGCACTGTTTCTGCAGCTCCTATCACCATCCAGCAGCCAATGCCATATGCCAAACAGGGGATACCTGTAACAATGAGCACACAGCTATTATTTTCAGTCTGTTTTCATCTGGAATAGAATTCTTTACATCACGTTCTGTAGTTTTAACAACTAGACCTTTAGGTACAAAACATCTGTCACGATGGATTTTAATATCCTTATGCCACATACATCCTTAAGATAAAACACTGCTGAAGAGGGCATCCAACTGAACAAATTTAGGTGACTTTTGTTCTGAAATCTAGAACACTGGAAAAATACTTTTAATGCTTTGTTGGGCAAGTAAACCAGTGTTTAGGGCCACATAGCAGGAAACCTTTCTGCATTGTATTGGTTTAATGCATGAGAAAAAGCTTAGCTGTAGCAAATCATACATTAAATAAATTAAATCTGTTTTTCTTTGAACTATTGAAATAGCTATTGAAATACGGAAATGTTTGTTCCTACTCCTTTATAAACTAAGACAATAAAGTCAAAAAGTTTTCCAGATACATAGGGATATTTATTATTAGGCAATTATGAAAATACTGACCCAAATTAATAACTTTTAGCATGGAAAAAAACTTGTTTTCAAAGTCCAGGTTCTGTGGAGGTGCTTTGGTACAATGATATTTCACAAAGGGGAAGCAGCCTGTCCTCAGAATGTGATAATTGGATCCCTGAACTCTCCAGTTAAAGTTGGAGAGGCCAAACTGATCGTTGTGGACAGAGCTGTAGCGGACGCAGAATGAAGTCCAGGGTGGTAGTCTGCGCTGCTGCAGGTGGCAGGTTAACACCTCTGAAGCTGCTGGCAGTGGAGCCTTTTTACCAAAGCTGCTTGGAAACAAAGCAATCTGCAGGAAGATGTTGTGTATCCTCTGCAAAAACACCTTCATGATTTCTGTAATACACAAGAATTGGTTTTAAATTTTACAATGGTTGAAGATAAGATTCTGTTTGAACATTTTTCTCAAGGGTTAATTCACTGCAATGTGTTGAGCGGATCATATCTGAACATCACGAGATAGAAAAGCAAAATAACCAGAAGGTTCAAACAACAATAAGATTACGCTGAATTGATGGTGTAGTTTATCAAGCATGTGCTATGTTTGAGAAAACCTTTATTTAATTTGGGAAATTTTTAAAAAGGGAGCAAACTTGATGACCTAACAGAAGTCCACATGAAATTTTTAAACATACTGAGTTTGTAATTTAAATTGAGATTTTGCACAATGAAAACTATTATATATATATATATATATATATATATATATATATATATATATATATATATATATATATATATACAATATGTATAAAAGAGGGTGAATATAGAATTCAAGCAAGGCCGGAATAAAAATACTCCACATTCCTTACATTCAATAAGAGGCTGTAGAGCCGAATGGGGCGATAACATTGTTATCCACAAGAGTTTCGAAGACCAAAGGACAGGTGCTACCAACCCTAACCCTCAACACTGGGAATCAGCAAATGCTAATTGTTAGGATCGGCCCACGACCGACTTAAAAGTTAGCAAACGAACTCAACTCGGTTAAATTTCAACGACACACATTTCAAATTCCGCTAGCAAGATCTACATATTCGGAGACAGGGGTAAGAAAAATACACCAGCAAAAGGACAAAGCAAGAAACTCCTCATCCAGCTAAAGCTCTTTGTTGTGGGTACTTCGTTCAAATTTGTTCGGTCGGAAACACTGCGCGGGGAGTAAAGTTCCTGTTCGGAAAGTCACTCATGTACAACAGATATTTATACCAAAATAAATCCGGATTTTTTTTGCCGTTCAATAAATTGCTTCTGATATAAAATACGACATGTATCACTTATAATGAATAATGAAACCCAAGTATGAATAAAAAAAAAATACATTTTGTTTTCTGTTTCCTTTATTGCAGGTCTATTTTTTTTGTACCACTATCGTCATGGATAAAATCTTTATTGGTCTGACAGCAGTCAAACGTCTTATTATTGTTGAGCAACTTTTTTTATGTTTACTCTTGAATTTTAAGGGCTTATTCATAGGTGATAACTTTAAGGGGGGGGGGGGGGTAACCCTCCCTGACATCTCTCAGATCCCTTTAGCTCCCTTTAGATTTTTGTAGTAGGGATTCCAGTTCGGTGACTTCAAAGTAATAATAACAGAGGGAGCATGTTATAAATTAAATGGTGGTTTAAAACCTACATTTTTGAAGTGTCTATATCATTAGGTCAATCGATCAATTTTATTTTCAGGACTATAGGAAGAATAGTTATACATAAAAAGGATAGAGCATCAACAGCTGCACTGTAAAAATTATACTGCAAGGTGGTGCAAAAAATAAATTCATTACTGTAAGGCTAGTGATCAGTACAGACATTGATAAATATCACAAAATGACAAATATCAAAACCAAAAATCCACAACTTGTTTAACGTCTTAAAACCAAACTGATTATTTTCACATTTTATTGTATAGATTTAGTAAAGTAACAGTTAGATTCCCCTGTACATTTTTAGTAATGAAACAGTAAAATATACACATCTTCATGGTTCACAACAGTTTGGCAACTTACCTTTAATTAACATGCATCACTTTTAATTTAATAAACAAAGTAATCAGTTCTGCTTGAAACAGTGCAGAAAAAAAATGATATGTCATTATTTGTTCAGCAAATTACTTGCTATTCATTATCATACACTATGAAGCATATCCATCAATACATTCACAGGTTATAATATGAAGTTTCTCGGACGAACTGATTCTCTGCAGCAACTTTCAAAAGTTTAAAAACAAAAGGCTTCGGCCATATAGAAAAATGACACCATGATAAAACATCTTTAAAAGGTATCAATGTATCCTGGGATATTTTTACAATAATTCAACTAAAACCATCAGGCAAAAAGAGAAGATCCCTTGCCTTCTTATATTCACACCAGTCATGTTGACTATGAAAAGTTCTCATGTGTGCAACAAGATGTGTCGGCACAGCCACCAGCAAAGCTCCTCTGTGACAAGAAGCTCACTCACACCAGAAAACAACAAAACTCCATAGACCCTAACAAAGTCAGGCTAAATGATGTAAAATGTACTGGAGAAATCAAAAGATATGATCCTTACAGTTTTCTGTCTTGTCTAAATGACAGTGGTATTATTGATTCTGGTGTATCATTGCATCTATAACTCCAACTCCATGGCGATAGGCAAACTGCAGGGGGTCCTGAGGACCTTCCCTTTTGGAATAATGACATCTTATTCTTATACCTGACTTGGGATTTTCTGTCGTTGTGACAAAGCAAACAAGCACATTATCTTTTAATGGTAATCATAATATTTTTAAGTAAATTTAGTTTTGTCATATTTTAAGCATTTGTATACATTTTGTTGTATCTAGTTTTAGTCAACTACTCTTCAGTCATGTCAGTTTAATGTGCATTCAGCAAACTTTTTTAAGACATAAGATTGTGTTTTTAGATAATCTTCATAGAGAACAATGTACATGTATTTATACATGTATTAATTATTTTAAAACTGTGTGAGGATGTATTTTGCAACACACTACAGCAGACAAACAAACAAACAACAACTTATTTGGATGAGATGGATTTTCAAACTTATTAAACTTTCAAAAAACAAAATTTCTAATAGGAAATTCATGTTTTCAGATTCAAAACATAGTCAACATTGACTAAAAATAAAATAACATGTTGCTGCTATATTTTTCAGTAGAAATGTCAAACATGTTTGGTTGAGGTTTGATGCACTTTTTATACTCTGAAAGTTTTCATTGTCTTTCACATGAATTGTTTAAGACAAATATATCTTAGTCTTTTTTATGTTTTATCATGGGAATATTTTTAACAGGGTTGTGTACATTTTGGAGAGTCACTCTAGAAATTTCTGATACAAAACTCTAACATGTGACAGATGAATGGCAGCATATCAAGATCTTTATTCAGACGTCTATAGGCTTCATAAGTTGCTATCTATCCATAGGGATAACTGATGAAGCAGCTAAACAGCAGGCTTATCCTTCTGTTGGTTTCTGTTCTTTGTTATTATCTGTGGAAATTCCTCTATACTTCTGATCAGCTCCTACATAAAAACAAAGTCAAAGAACATTTTAATTACTACGCATTATTTTTTTCAATCAGAATTCTTTAACAGCCAAAAATCTATCAGCAACATTGTTCTAGATGTAACGTTTATGAATATATATTATTGACGCTTTATTAAGCAAACACATTCCAGGTGACAAGCTTTAACAGATTATGAAGGTTTCATGACATGGATGAGGGGAGATCGTTAAGTCATTAACACAGTACCTTGAAATTGGTTTCTCCTTGCTTTATAGGGGATGATATTTCCTGATGAATGACTGACAAATTGCGAGCAAAGGTCACCAGAGCTCCCTGGAGATCCTCAGAGACTGCTCTAATAACAACATTCCAAACAAACGAGTTTACTAATGATCCCCTTGTTGCCTGCTAAGAAACAATCACCTTGTTCATTTGATGGCTGTGGGTAAATGAAACTTTCAGCAGATAGCATCTTCGGTCTATAGGGGGATGAGCACAGCTTGATTTAACTGTTCCAGGGCTGTGCAAGCTAACGGATTTCTGTGATAAATATGTTGAATAACCCTCTGCTTAACAACCTGTGGAGTTTCTAATATTTACAAAACCTGAGGTGGCATCTTCATCCTGTGAAGAATTTTTTTACCTTCAGCGTTGGCAAACTAATCACCCCTCTAACATTCTTCAGTGCTTTCCTATTCTAATGAAGTGAAATTTCAGGTTCCTAACCTGCATATGCCTTTACTATCCATCAAGAGAACAGCTGTAAATTAAAATACAAGGAACTACGGCAAGGTCAATAGGTCAGAAAGTATACTCTTGTTTGCCTTTTATCAATATGTACTGGAAACAGCATAATGGTTGAAACAGATGATTGTCCTGGCTGGATAAGTCAGTTTTGGACAATTTTGTCCTACAATCACTCAAATGAGCCCTTGAATGAAAAATTAAAGAATTTCTTTACCTTCAAACTACTGAAAAAAGGTAACAAACCCTTACCTAAAAACTCCATTAAAGGGCAGGCATTAGGAGAACCTCCTTACTCCAAGGAAAGGGTTGCAGCATTTCTTCAAATACACCTTTAAGCATTTGCAAAACTTCTGGAATATTTTTCAGTTACACCCCCTCAGCTCTTATCTGCTTTATTTTGTGCATAATAAATAAAACTGATGCAAATGGAAATATTCACATCATTCCAATGGTGCATCGCTCACTGCTGTCATAAAGAGCAAAAACAGTTCCTTGCTTTTGCTAAAAAAAGGAGTGTCACAAACATACAGTTAAAAGTAGATCCCAGACACACAAACAAGAGATGGATAACAGCCAAAACCTAAGTTAAGATAAACAATCTTTTTTGTTCTTTTATTTATGCAAAATCTAAAGGATTTAATAGGCAGTGTTCTCTATGGGCATGTTAGCACTTTTAGAAACATATAACAATAATATTCAACAATTATAACCATTTGTTCCATACAAACATTTTAGTAATGTTCACTAGCAAAGGTTGGGACGATCAATATAATAAGTGGAAACAAACATTATGTTACTGCAGCATCAGTGTGTTTTACAATTTTCAGATGCCTTATTGGATTATGGAATCAAATTAGACAAGGACCTCTAGTTCTCAAGCCAGAAATGTAACTTCAGGAATCCTTTCTGGCTGATTTTTGTACATTTTTGTTTACTCAGTGTGTGATATGCATTAGTCTCACAGTGTAACATTATAATCTTAAAACACAGGATCTATTGGAATTGTTCTAAAAAAGTTATGTTTGGACCTTAAAATAGGTAATGTAGTAGGGAAATACTGTTATCAATAAGCTTCAATGTAATTCTTAAATAGATTTATCTTTAATGCAAACTCTAGAATCTTGAACTTCTTAAATTCAATGCCATGAGCTTTGCACATCTCAAATAACACTTGTGGTACAGCATTGACAGGTCAGGGTGAAACAAGTGCATCCCCATCAATGCACTGCAACTGACCACTGTAGGGTCTTAAAAAAACAAAACAACTATAAAACAGTAAAACAAACCTCATCTGACTTTTCTGAAGCATCATAAATAAACAAAATTTACTAACCAATGGGTGGCAATAGTCTACAACACTTCCTTTACTGCGGGTTCAATATAAGAGTTTATATGTGTGCACAGCAAAAAACTTTAAATCTAAGTAAGTCATTTTTTTTTTAAATAGGTGCATTTTTTCTTAAATTGAGCAGGTACACTTTCCCAATGGAACAAAATAATTTACATTTAAAATAAGAAACAACAACTACAGGCCCTGATTTCAAATGCATGATATCTAATTATCTTATTTTGATTGAAGGATAAAAATACTCATTCTATAGACAGATCAGCTTATTTACGTACTCCAATTAAGGCTATATACACTTATTAAAAAAAATTATTATCTGTTTTTGGACCGTTTTTTGCAGTCTGTAGAAAAAAAACAAACATGTATTCAGAAAAGAAACAATATACATGTTACACATGCAGTGAAAAATACCAATGAGCGCATCCTTTTACATGTTTGTTTGGGTAAGACCATGGAAATTGTGGATTTAAAAGGAATTATATATAAAAGGTTTTGGTTTGTGTTTTTTTCATAAAAGTTTAAAGAGGGGAATTCTCCAGATTGCAGCTAAGTTTTGTGTATGATCGGTCATCCTGATGAATAAAGGGCTGATGAAGAAAACTCTTGGGTCTTTCTTAATTAACTACAAGAAATGGCAGATCTAATACACTAGTCTAGCTGCTAGAATCTATGGGAAACTCATAGATTTTCAGAGAAGGAGAATGCTCAACTGGGCTTTATAAACACAAAACATATTACTATAACAGAAGGATTCCAATCATAAGTAACGCTAGAGAGCTTGATTACTTAAAAATGTCAGTGCTTAGGAGGATAAAATGTTGCCCGTTCTCAGCCACCTTTGGGAGACAAAGGCAGCAGGTCTGAGCCTTGGAGAGCTCAGGAAGTATGGCCCATAACTCGCTGTGAAGGCTGTGTGCTTGCACTTGTCAAAGGCAGGGCCCTTACCCAACAATAAAAGTGTCCAACAGGGACTTAATTGTGTTTGTAATATGCTGGTCCCTAATGATGGCCACTATTGAAGCCATTAACAACGGCAGTGGCTCAACTGCTGCAGTGAAGCACCGGGCCACCAGCTAAATGAATGTTTGATAAAATAATACAAGTCTCAGATTAACAAGCGTAAACTCAGGCATACTGCTAATAAAAGAACTCCATTGTTTAAATCCTGGCACCAGGTTGATGAAGTGTTCAAGCATGCATAATGAAAATGGTATGAATTATTAATGTGTTGATTATTTAGGCTCATCTATCAAAATGATAATGAATTTGGCACCTAAACATTCATTGACTTTGGTGTGTAGTTACAGTTTTTTAGGTGTGTTTTCTAAAAGCAAAGATAAAAACACTGATCTCTTGTTGTAGTTACGGTGGCAGTAATAATGCTTTGTTAAAACCCAGACAAATAAAACTAAACAGAAAAATCCTTAACAATATCCTAGTTATTGAAATTAGAGTGTTTTTGGTTTACATTATAAAAGGTGTCATACCTGTGCTACAGCCTGGTGTTCAGAGCATTTCCCTTTGACTGCCACTGGCACTTCTAAACAGCATGTGTGCCAATTTAACATTCCTCCAGTCACCAATACTAACATCTGGGACATGGCAACCTGGTCACTGTATGCAATGTCCAGATCAAAAGCCCATACCTGTCAAAAAGACATTAAAAGACAAGATTTGCATTTATTATTAAGTTATTCACCTAGAGAGACACCAAAAATAAAGAGCCAGGCAGCTCTGTGGCTAAAATATGTAGGCAATTCAGTTATACGGTTATACTTCCTTTATGTGTTTTCAATCTGCCCAGGGCGGTTTGCCTGGCTCAGGTCTGATGAGAACCAAAGTTCATATATGTATAGTAAATGGCATCATTATAAGTGTATTAAGGGGTCAGGTTTGGACATAGCCTTCTGCTTAAATGGGGCTAACTTTGCAGATAATAACCTAATAGCTATGCCCTCTCTTCAAAAGTGGCAAATAAATCACCGGTGAAAGAGTTGTTAATAACTAAGTGGCAGTCGGCTGCCTCCTTTAGCTGTTCCTATTTGTCAAACTAAGCGCTCCTGCCACTGCATGCAAATTGCATCATGTTTGATCCTACCTTAAATCGGGCTTCGGAATGCTAACAGATTACATACATATGAAAGTTTCCTTTTTTTTATCCTAAATTATTGTGAAATGGAGAGGCAGTCAAAGAATATTTCAAAGTCACATGTTCAGACATAACAGTTTACTAAATGAATCGCAGAAAAGAACTTCAAAGCAGCTTTTTTAATATACAGATCTTTTTGAAATACTCAATACTTAAATTTTGCTCAAAATGACCGGTAACTTATGTAAAAAACGTGATTTCATTAGGTCTGTTTTAAGACATCTTTTAAAAATACAAAAACATTTTTTTAAACACTTTAACACAAGACAAGGAAATAACGAAAACTGAATAAATGTGGGGGGAAAAAACCTTCAACAAAAGGGTTAAATAAATAAATCAAAACATAAAAATTTAAATTTGTTTCTTGATTTGAAATAACTCAATATTTTTAGTTAATCCGATTCTTTCATTTTAATCAAAGCATTTATCTATAGTGGTGTAAAAATATGTGCAAAGCAAAAGTATGGTTTAAAGTGTGGACTGGAATAGATTAATTTCATTTAATTTTCATTAGACTTCCACATGCATATTATCCTGATGTAGCAGGATAAAATGCTTTCAGGTTCCCTAACTGTAGGAGGCAAAAAAGACACAACTTGGTTTAATGCATGTCTGCTTAATTCAGACTGTTATGTGGCCCAGTGTGATGGACACACAACACCGAGCAATTCACTAAACTCCCTAAAACTCATACTCCCGTGCCCCATTGTCACTCTTAACAAAGCCGCGGGAAATGTAAGCCTGGATTGTACCTGTTTTCTATTGCCTTGCATTTTCATTAAAATCCCCGATGCTGCAGCTGTGGCCCCGCTGTTCCACAATGTGCGCCGAGACTGCAAGGGCAAACATATGTGACCCACTTCTTCCCATCAAATAAAGTAGGCAGCTTTTAGCAACAGGTTTGAATCTAAATTGATGTTTAAATCCAGACAGGTTTGCCCATGTGGCTCCCCTTAGCCTGAGCTTTGTCTGTGTGAGTCAGGAGATGGTCAAGAATTTGCCATTAAAGTTCCTGCAACAGTTAAAGCAGTCACTGCTTTATTATTATGCTGTATTCAAACGCCTTGCGACTAGGTCAACATCAGAGATAAAATCCTATTTTCAGCCAGTCCAAAGAAGGACGGGGGGGACTATGCCATGTTTAAATTAAAGACAGACATGTTTTCTTAAAAAAACCTAAAATAAAATGAAAAAAAATGTATGATTATGATGATTACTATGTTATTATTATAATAAATATACATTCAAATAATTTGTAGTTTAATGAAATAACACATATAGTAAAAAATTTATTCTATTAACACAATTTTAGTTTTAAATTAAATAAAAAATAATTGCAAAAGTGGATTTAAAAAAAACCCAACTCATACCCATCATATAATCTAACCCAGAACACACTACACCCTTGTGGTAACCATGCCTAAACCTATCCTTATTATCATAATCTTTTATCTATTTACTTAATGATTTTGTTTTGTTTTTTTCCCACTCTGGGAATGTACTACAACAGCCTAAGTATTAAACAGGGAGAAGTATTCATAAACAATTAATATACTTAATCCTTAATAAAACAGATCTGAACCAAGAAGTTTTTTTTATATAATTTGGGTTAATAAAGGCATAAACACTTCATACCCCCTTTTTTTATGCTTTTCATATATTGAAAATTGCTTCTGTGCGTCTTCTCTCCATCCCGCTGGTTTGGAAATGTCGAGGGCACAATAAAAACACAGCATTTCATTTTACAGGTTCAGATCAATAACAGTCAATGTTGCCACATGTTGGGAGCAGAGGTTAAACCATCATAAAGAACTCCATTTCAAAAATCATGAATCAAGAAGCTTTCAGCAAAACTTAATTCTGACAAATGAGAAGTGGCTTCTGTGGTGTCTTGGTATAATAATGTGATTTATTCTAGAAGAACACAGCAGGTAACCATCTAGGGGTTAAACACTTGACAGGTTATCCCCGTCAACGTAGTAAATCACTTCAGAATGACCTACTGTTGGAAAGCTTCTGAATTTCTGTGCATGGTAAGGTTAAAGGGCAAGCTTTAAATGGTGGAATCAGTGTATTGACACAATAAGACCTGACAGTTTATTAGAGGGCCTTGTGACACATTTGGTCCCAGTGCCCACAGTTTACCTCGTCTTGTTATCTGGATCCCGGGGGAGCACTATATGTTGGAGGCATCTATCTGTTGTGGACAAAAATGTATCGTTTCCAACCAATATAGGTTGCAACATCCAGGACAATATATGTAATGACCCTCAGTGTCCTCCTCTTTGCCTTTCAGAGTCTCACCTTATGCTTCATGGTGCTATGGTCTTCAGAGGTAACTAGAGCAATGGATATATAACCCATGATAGTGCTGCTGGCAAGCCTGAGCCACATGCATACAAATGGCTTGCAAGATCTCTGGGTGTACAGAGGTCTGAGGAACGGCAGATCCCACATCGTCCAGATGACAGGAGCCGTGGAGCTGGTTTCCACAGGACAGCATGGTTACCTCACCCCTAGGCTCCAAAAGCATATCAACTCTTAGATGGGCGACACTTTCTGAAGGGGGTTGGCCTCCACCACTCCTTCTGGAGAGAGTGAATGCAGAAAAAGGTCTAAACAAACAGATACTATACTTAAATAGTACATGTGCACTTATATTTTCTATTACTAGAATTAACTTCCTGAGATCTAATTTAAGAAAATGTGAGCTATTTGTTTGGTAAATAATGAAATTACATGGAAATGATTCAGTTGTTTTACTTATAAAATCAAAGAGGAGACAGAAAAGTTCACTGAGATGTATAGAAATCCTAATTTGTATGTAAGTATAATATACTAACCTTGCCTGAGGAAGGTATGCAGGGGGCTTAACCTCATGAGGAAACTGGAAGTTTTAGCCTGTTTGGCATAATGGGCCAGCGATTCTGGGATCTTATTTAAATATATGGGCAGAACTGACTCCTAAAGAATGAATGTTAAGTATAAATATCACATGACAAATAAAAAGCAAATATATCTATGTATAGTATTGTGTAAATTTAACTCAAAAGTTTGAAAAAATGACTTAATTCAGCTCCTTATTCATATCAGACATTATGGTTGTTGCATCTCAGCTCCATCCTGTTATCCGGATGATTCTAGTGATTGTGTGTTATCCTTTAGATTTCAGAGACTGCTTTAATTTCTGTGCGAGTATCTGATAGATACTGCGGTAGTGTCTATTTGTGAGTGACAGCCTATTATCAGAAGGCCTCAGGAGCCTAATAGCTTTAACTCACAGCCTCCAACCACCTGCCCTCAATAACAACTCTCTCCACTGGGCAGCTGATGAATACTTAAGCTAACCCCATCTATCTGGGGATCAATCAAGGCCTGACTGGGATCGATATCACTCTTGTTTCGGTAAATACGAAATGCCATTATGGTTTCACCACTTAATTATGCTGTTAATTTTCATCTTTCGCTTTAGGTGTCCTTTATACAGTTTAGCAAATCAAGTACACTCTTTTCTGCAAACGAACTGTGCTGTTAAATGGGTCAGAATGTCTTGTCTGAGCTTCTAAAGGTCAGTGTTTGATGTCCATGAAAAATAACTACATCTGAGAGACTGAAGAGGAAGTAAATGAATCCGACTGTTTAGACACTGTTTGTAAACAATAATAATGTGCAACGCTTTGCAAAATATCCAGACCTATCCTTTTCTTTCAAATTTTATCGTGTTGCGACTCAATACAAAAACTTTAAAGCATTTCAAGTGGGAATTGTATGACATACAGGTAACATTATTTTGAATAATTCTATAATACCGGTAGATGGAAAATAACATGTTTTTCACATACTTCTAGTAATCAAAATCTAAAAGCATTGCGTCTATATGTATTCAAGCTGTTTGTGTAAATACATTGTTGAACAAGTTTTTTCAGCGGTCAGATTTGGGGCTATAAAAAAGTATTGCCGTCCAGAGACGATCCCACTTGTACATCTCAGCAGCTCCTCCAAAGCTACCATGGCCATCAGTTGCTTCTCTAATCAATGATCCCTTTGTTGATCAGTTTTGGTGGTGAAGTTTGTAGCTGTGTTACCATTTTTAGACTATGGATGGGGAATTTGGGTATATAAGCTAACCCTGCTTTATAGAGCTGTAATTATAACCCCTGACCTACCTAGAATGTTTCCTAATCTTTTAAAGTGAACTGGATGCACTGGGCTGCACGGGGGTGCAGTTGGTAGCACTGTTGCCTGGAGGTAAGAATGTCCTGGGTTTGAACCCCAGCCTGGAATCTTTCTGCTTGCAGTTTGTATTTTCTCTACATGCATACATTAATTCTCGCCAGGTACCCGCTTCCCTCGTCAGTGGGTCGGAGCTTGGACATGTGACCTATTCAGAATGTACCCTGCCTCCTGCTCATAGACTGTTAGAGGTAGAAACAAACTCCCAACAAGATACAGTGTGGAAGAGACAGGTGTAAAATATGGATACAGTGTATTTGATTTAGTATTATTTAGATTAAAGGGGGTTGCATACAAATGTCAGTCCCACCTTTTAGATTTTCTCTGTAACAACCTTTGATAACCTTGAATTATGGTTGTTTCACTTCACACATTTTTTCTTCATTGTGCTGATTTGTAACATAAAGTACTAACAAAATACATTGAAGTTTGTAGCTCTAATGTAAAAAACAATTGAAGCAAAATTCTGTGAGTGTGAACAATGCACTGCATGTGTGCCATTAAACGAGAATCACATTTGCCTGTAGAAAAATAATATATGTGACAACTGAGTAAAAGATAATCTCTGAATGTGGATAACATCATTGTTCTTCCCTCATGCTTTCCAGAGCATTACTTTTTTTTGAGTATATACTGTCTGGCTTCACCGGAGACAGGGCCAGAGATTATGCAGTTGAAATTCCAGTCATGTAACAGCCATCATCATATTCAAGTACTGTAAAAGGCGAGGTCAAATGCTACACAGTGATTCTCCCTACACAAACCATAAGGCACACAATGGCGCGGCAAAAAGTGTAAGGGAACGGTTGTCATTCTCAACGGAAGAGCAAGCTCACCCCAGGACTTTGCATGTGCAGTTCACAGAAACAGCAGGACAGGAGGCAAAAGAAGGAAGAGCATTCTGCAATAAATTATTTGGACTTAAAGTACGTACAGTACCCTGTGATAGGATTCAGCCGTTGCTTGGTGTCCTCATAAAGCAGCGCAATCTCGTCGGTAATAAAACAGATGTTCTTCTCTCTGATTGCCCTATGTTGTATAGTGGTTCCACTGGAGACCACAGTAACTCCTAGGATATATGAGGATAGATTCGTACAACTTACACATTGCCCATTAATATCTGTTTCATTGGCTCCAAACAGTTTTCTAAACCCACAGCAAATCATATTTGTTGTGTTGTTTCAGGTTTATAAACTTTTTTGAACTTTCATTAAGAACTATTTATGCAGTGAAAGAAAGGCGATGAAATACATTTTCTTCAGATTCTAAATGCAGAATAACTCCTTCTGGGGAAATTTTTACACCTCCAAAGTTTTCCATAGTATCAGAGCCTGCACAATATTTAGACAGACAACTGGATCAAACGTCCTTCTACCTCTTCAGTGGTAGTGATTGTCAAATGACCCATTGCGTTGACAAACTTAACCTAAATAAGGTTTTTCTCAAGATCTGTTTGTACACAGCATGATGAAAAAAATGCTCCATCTGTTGAAGCTATTATGTGTAATTTTTACCCTCTTGTGCCTAATGATCCATATGCAAGCTATGTGAGCGCTTAAGTGTGTGTGTATGGCCCCCTTCAGGCATTGCATGGTTGAAGATCTACGTGTCTTTAACCTCTCTCTGTGTAAATGCTAAAAGAGGCCTGGGGGGCTTTCTGCAGGCTCAAACATTGTGCAGGAAGCTGCTGTGGGCCTCACAATATTTAGAGAAACATAGATTTTTTTTTTTTTAGTCCTCTGTGGAAGCTCCCATTGATGTGAATGTAATGGCTCCTCCTCCTTTTTGTACCCTTTTAGGCTTTGTTTCACTCAGCCAGAAGGGATCTAATTGTTGGTGGTACCCTGAGGGTCCACACATATTTTTTTTCTTTTCATTTCTTTCATGAACCAATATTTTAGTTTACCACTTTCTCCAAAAAAGTATGTATGCACACTTCTTGCGTTTATTAATTTATCCATAATTAGCTTAATTAGTTAGAAAAATGCACATGATTTACTCAGAATTTAATCCGGTATCTGTTGTAATTTACTGTTACATTTTCTTAGTAGAGGACAAAAAAAGAATAATCAAAATACTTCATGCATGCAATGAATCATTTTGTTAAAAAATAATATTATCAAAACTTTAAAGAAACTGAAGTTTAGATTTTTTTTCCCCAAATGCTTGAAATGTTTCCAAAATGTTTTGCAAAATACCAGTTCCTCTTTTCTCTTTGCTTTTCATTTGCTGTATTGCAATCGCTAGTGACTATAATGTGCTCATTTTCTATAAAAGAAAGCCCAAAAAGCATTAAAGAATTGAATTTGTGCTTCTGTTACTGTTTCTGATCCATGGAAGAACAAATTTCTCTAGTCCTTTCAAATGTTGATTTCTGATCAACGACAATGTTTAGTAATCTTTCAATATTAACTGTCAAACTGATGTGTTCGTATTTCCCTGTGCAACAGCTAAACAGTCTGGTATATTTAGAACATTTCAATAAACAAATAAAAATAAACCAAAAATCCTACAACAAGAGGCACAGGAAGTGGGCTTTGCTTTGATTAAAAGAGCAAGGTGTAAAATAAAGGGCAGTTAAAGTGTTGTGTCCATATGGCCCAGGAGCCCCGAGGCTGTCGGTCTACACCGGGGGCCTCGGCACTCTTCCCTCTCCATGGGACCCCAGCTGGTGAAAGAAACCCCATTTACTTTCCCCGTGCAGTCTGGGCCGCCATTATGGACCTTGGCTGTGGCTCAGCTCTGCTCTGCCATAATTAACAGCACCGAAGCCACAACAATTACAGTCTTGCACAATGCCTACCCTGTGAATCAAAGAACAAGCTGATAGGAATGAAGCAGAGTGAGCCTAAGAACCTCGAGATGACTGCTGTTCTTTCAAATGGTATAAAAAGTAAAATCATTGTGCTCCAAGCCCACAATCATTAGCCTGTAATTAGTTTGCACAAAGCTCCCAGTTAAATGGCAAAATACGGTAATTAACACATGACAGAAAATCAAAGGCTACTTTGTAAGCATATGAGAAATAAGAGCCAGGGGGAGAGAAACTGTACAGATTGCATCTGAAGTAAATAAATGGTTTAGCACTGATTAAGTACATTTTATGTGTTTTAAATATGCCTGTGCTTATATTTGATTTTATACACTGATCAAAACGAAATGCTGTTATAATATAAATGGCTCAAATCTTTCAAATAGCAAGGTGCAGTGAAGTGTAGTTTTAAATAAATAAAGCATTTGCTGCACTTAAGGATATAAAATGTAAATGTAAAAATATGAGCAAAAACTATTTTGAAGTATAAGAAAGCTAACGATTAATATTTTTTGATTTTTTATAAACGTGTATTCTGTACATTCAATGTAAAATAAGACATTTTGAGTTGAACACATTTTGATTTTGTGATTAAGTGCATTTTTACATATTTGTTAAAGAATAAGCTACTGGAGATGTGTGTTTTGTCATACTAGATGAAGTTGCCCTTCAAAAAAAGCAAGGGGGTGTGTAAACTGAAAACTTTAACCAATAATGAAATTCAATTTAACTCAGTAATTTGCAGAGAGCCATATGAATAAAGCTTGTATAAAAAAAAAAAAACTAAAAAAAACCCATAACAGTCAGTCTTAGTAGATATGACTTTTCTGTAAAAGAAAAAACGTTATAAACATAAGTAACATTAACCCCTTTTTATAGATATTTTGTGTCAGGGAGGTACAGATATTCATAGGTGTGTCACATTTCTACCTGCATCCATTCTGAGCTCCACAGATCAGGACGGTAACGATGATAATGCTGTAAGGCCCAGTTATAGCAGCTAAGGTGGAGAACATCCCAGAATGCCGCTTCACAACCTCCACGCTGTACATTGATCTTAAAGAACCAGTGCTGCACATTGATATTTAGACTCATAAGTTCAGTTAATGTTTCATGAAGCTGAAACAGGGAAAAAAATGTTTGAATCTTTTAACTTTGATAGAAAGTAGGTATTGACGTCTTGTTCTTGATCTCCTACCAGGTTAAGTGAGTATAAATCTCGCTGTCCAGGGGATACATCAACCCCTGTCATAGATAATATCCCTCTTCCTCCAGATTTGGTGCTGTGGAATTGTGATATAGCTGGTTCTGGACCCAAAATCGACACATCCAGCTCATCAGCAACAGACAGGTTATCTACATGTCCGACTAAACCCGCTATGTATGTCTGCTTCCCCCAAATTAGGTGTTTGATACGCTTCAGGGTGCATAGACTGTACTTTAGCAGCATAAACAGACACATGTTGTGGGTCTAAAGCTAAGGAGATTAGAGATGAACACTAGAGTTAGGTGTGATCAGTGTGACTTCCAAGGGTTGTTTCCAGCCCTGATTTATCATTGTGTACATACAACCGATCTATTGTTGAAATAGCCAGCAGGGTTTTGACCTCTCCTGTAACCAGCAGGTTGGATTGATAAAACCAGCCTGCAGGAAACTCACCTATCATTCACTTCGTTAATGTGTGCGACCAACGAGCTCCCTGGGAATACAACTAATTACTTCACATCTGTATTTATTTGATCCACGTGGAATTATCCCTTCTGTCACTGGCAGAATGCGCTGCCAGCCATGGGTAGGAGTGATTCATCTCAGCAACACGTCTGGCACAGTTTAACACCAAAACAGTGGGAAAAACAATAAAAAGAAATGAGAAAGGCTATGTCATCTTGCTTTTTTTTTTTTAACTGTTTTTTTTAAAGAACTGTACAATGTAAAAGACTTAAGAGTCTTGGGATTATTTTTGATTATTGTCCAAGAAAGGCAGCATAAAGAAAGCTTAAGTTTAATTATATCCTAAAAAACTGTGTATTGACGACTACAAATGTTTGAATTAAGCACAACATAATCAACTTACTGCTTCTAACAACAGATACAAAACAGTTTAATTTTAAATGCACTAAACAACATTAAGCAGCTGCTCTCTCAGGACAACGGCAATCTAACAGCACCTCTAGTACCCTCTAGAGGACATTTCTTAGACTACAAAAGGCTGAAGTACTCTGTGGTCTTACACAGTGGCATGCAATATCTCCATATCTTGAGCTTTTCCCACATTTTGTTATACTATAACCAAACAAGTAATTTATCTTCTTGAAATTTTATGTGATAGAATAAATACAAAGCAGGGTATAATTGGATGCCAGAAAAAACGGAAAGAGAACACCTACAAAACATCAATTATCAAGTTTTGGCCCAGACTCTTAACTAGATTTATGTTTTGCTTAAAACTGCCTTCATTGTTTAGAGTTATTTTCTTTATTGAAGGTGAAGCTCTGCTTTCACAGCCTCTAGAGAGTTTTATTCCAGCGTTGACATTTATCTAGCTCCATCCATCTTTTAAGTTATTCCAACCAGCTTCCTTTTCCTTTCCCTCCTAACCCTAGGAAAGATGTTCCAAAAGCATGATTCTGTAATCTCCATGTTTGATGTTGGTGATATGCCGTCCTTGCTTTCTGTCTCAGCTGGCATTTTGGTCAAAACCTTTTTTTTTTGGTCTTATCTGCCTGTATCTGTCCACTTCTTCCATGTTTGCTGTACTATTCTTGGGTTATGGCAAACTATAAAACAGTTCTCTTATTTTCCTTTCAACAGAAATTGCAGCTGTTCCAAAAAGGCACTGTAAATAATTAACACGATCTGCCTTGAGATGTAAATCTCTTCTCCTTCTCCAAAGCTTACTTTGTATCATTAAAAGATTCGATGATTTCTTAGTGCCATATCAGTTTACTTTTGTTTGTGGTAAGAATGGTGGACTTAGATCCTAGTGTGATAAGGTTAATATTTAAGAAACAAAAATAAATAGATGACATTGAATTGAGTGCAGCTTGAAATCAGTAGTCTAAAAGCTGCAGGATGGAAACTGTTTCTAAGCCTGGTGGTCTTGATCTGGATGCTCCTCAGCCGCCTGCCTAAGGGGAAAGGCTGGAACAGTCTGTATGCTGGATTGGGCGGATTCCTTCATGATGCTGAGCTCCCTCCCTCTGACTCTTAATGTGTAGTGGTCAGAGTTGGAGTGAAAGCTGCTCCCTACAGTCCTCTGTGCAGCCTTGACCACAGTTTGCAGAGCCCTCCTCTTAGCAGCAGTGTAACTGTCATACCACATGGTCATACAGGTGCAGAGAAAACTCTCCATCACACAGCGATAAAAGTTCTTTGGGACTAAGTTCCTGCATCAAGCTCTCCATAGTTTCATAAAGAGGTACTGTAGAGATGCTGATGGGCCTTCCTGACCAGATAGGAAGTGTTGGCAATCTACGTTTGCACACACAGTTACCTGTAGCTGCAGACCACCTTATGGCTGTTCTTCTGAGCTGCAGGGGCAGAAGAGGATCATTACTCCTTCTCTAATCCACCACCATCTACCAAGTCTCTGCACCACTGCACCAGATTTTCAACCTTCTATTTAAACTCATTATTTTTGTGATCTTTTCCACTACTGCTGTGCCATTTGTAAACTTTACAGTTAAGTAGTCTTGTCCAGCAGTCATATGTCAGCAGAGTACACAGAGAGGGTCTTAGAATGCAGCCATGGGGTGAGCAAGTGCTGAGGGTGATTGAGGAGGAAAAGTATTTCTGAATCCTGACAGTCTGAGGTCTGTTGGTCAAGAAGTCAAGCACTAGTTTCCTCAGCATGGAACTCGGTCCAAGGGAGGAGAGCTTCCATACCAAGATCCATGGGATGATGGTGTTGAAGGCAAATAAAAAATCCAGAGCAGATGGATGTAGTACATTTTGCTCACTAGGTGGGTGAGGGCTTTGTAGACTACCAATGAGATGGCATTAGTAATTGATGGGTTCCTCCCTTAGGCATATTGATTTGTGTCCACAGTGACGCTGATTGAATCCTTGATGTAGATCATGACTATCCTGTCAAAGCACTTCATATCTAATAGTGTTAAGGTTATAGGTCTTTACTCATTTTGGCTATTCATCATTGAGAACTTGGGCAGAAAGACAATAATTTTTTACTTAAAGCAGGTTAGGACAGATGCCGATGACAGTGAGGTGTTAAAAATGTGTGCTATCTCCTCAGACACCTGGTATACAATTCGCATGGGGCCAGATACCCTGTAGGATCCTCCTCAGTTTTGCTGCACAGCGAGGCATGTCACCAGGTGGTGATATATTTCTGGTGGTGTTCAGCATCTTCAAAGATGTGCAAAGAATCTGTTGAGTGGTTTTTGCTTGGGCATTTTGAATCACTGATGTTGTAGCCGATGCATTTGATTCCCTTCTACATGTGCTCCAGATCATTGGTGGTGAGGTAACCCTGACTTCTCAAGGTGTTTGTGGCTATTGGCTGTTGCAATGCCTACAGTTTATATTTTCCTTGCATTCAGCATTGCTCTCACCTCAGTATCCAGTTAGGGTTTTTGGTGCTGATAACACAGAGGGTGGGATATTACATTTCCTGAGGGCCCGTATATTCTAGAACTTTTAGAAGTAATTAGATGATTCTTAGGACTCTGGAGGAACTGACTGAGGGGCTAACTCAGCCATTTGATTCAGGTCTGTTGGACCACAGAAATGCAGGTAAAATATGGGCTTAGTGTCAATCAGTTTAAAGTCCAATGCAACCATGTAAAGTGCCTCAGGTTGCTTTATCTGCAGTGAGATAAATGTTGTGCAGTTCCATTGAATCTTTTTTAGCATCTCCTCAGGGTGGGATGGAAGCAATACCAATAAACAACACAATAAATTTACATGGCAGATAGCAGTAGTTGTAGCTTTGTCCACATTCACAGTTTGTACTCTTATCTTTACTCATATACAACAATGGTTCTTCTGCCCATTTTTTCCCCCACCAGGGCTCAATGATCCACTCCAAATAAATTAAGGACTTGGATCTTGAAGGCTAAGCCTTTAGCTGGGCCAGTGTTTCTGCCTGCCTGCCTCCCACCTTGTCTGTTTTTGGGCACAATGTTTCCTTTTGACTCCTGCTCCTGGCATCCTGCTGTGCCTGTTTGTTATCTTTAAGAGTTGCTGTGTACCTGTTGCTGATTTCAGCCTCAGTGATACAGTCAACACCAACTCATATGACCAAAAGTTTTGTTTGGCTGTACTTCAGTAATGTATTTAGGACTGAACTAGTGTCTAAATTATCTTCAAAGGAATTAGAATAATCCCAGTGGCAGGAGAAGCTGGTGCTCCAATGCGCACCACCATGGCACCCAAAATCATGTTCTCTGCTAAATGTTTGCAATGGGGGTTTGTTTTCTATATCATTTCCATTTTACATTCATATCTATTGTTTATTTATGCTATATTTTTCTGTTTAGTTAATATAGCTCTGGGAATCGATATCCAGGAGCTAGATGAAAGCCTAACAGATTTGCTTTCACAAGCAGACCTTTATGCTAGTTGCCATAAGGTAACGCTTGGTACTTATCCAGCATTTTTATTGTCATTATAGAGTGACAAAATGAACTCTCTGCATTTATCCCATCTTCTTGGGGAGCAGTGGGCTGCCATTGTGCGGTGCCCGGGGAGCAGTGTGGAGTTAAGGGTCTTTGCTCAGGGACCCAGAGTGGCAGTCTGTGGGAGTCTGGCTCAGAACCTTAGGACTCTAAGCTCTATGCCCTAATCATTGGGCCGAAACTTTAATGAAGATTATTTAGGGAGTAAAACTGTATACAACGGACTTAATTTCCATTTTAAACTTCTCTTTAAATTGTAACCCTGACTAGTGTACTCCTTGGTCTTCATGAGGCACTGATCTCTTACAAACCTTTAAAGGGCTTCACAGTACAGCTAGATTTATAATGAGATTAAAAGACACAGATGGCCTCTTAAAAAGAAGGAATGTTTTAAAATCTGTTGGTTGTTGTGTGTTCTATAAGGGTTTATTATAGAAAAAGGGACTTTGAATACAAATTCCGTACATGGTATACCTTTCATATTAATAATTCCAGAAAGATTTTATTCAAAACCACCTAAAAAAACAACTAATGAAAAAGTACCAGATTTTGAGTTATTTTTCAAGACATTTTAGAATAATACCCCTCAGGAACGCTTGTCAGGTCTTTGCAAATGCTTTTTCATACCAGTTGAACGTTCATTTCCACAAAGAAATAGACAAATCTGATCAAGCTTACATAGAACAGATCCACAGCCTCGGGTATTAGAATAATAAACCTGTTATGGGATAAGGCCTGGCTGGTCACGGTATTAGCAATGTTGCATTTCAGGACATTTGAATAATACTCCAAGATGTCTTCTCCCAAATGAATGGGACATATGTAGAACGCTTCCAGATTTTCATCTGGAATTAGAAAGAGGAGTTTCACTAATTAAATCTACAGTACATCAAGGAAGCTCAGAATTAATTTCGCTACCTCTAAGATCACACAGCCTGCTAATTTGGCTATTTTGGAGGACGTCAAATCTTTTTGTGCTTTGTCTCTGTTTCTCTGGGTACCCTGTCAGAATAAGGTCAAACAATCATCAAAAACTCTTTGACACAATAAGAACATCTGTACAGCTGGCTATGGATAGGATGTGCAAGTCACTAGACTAGGGAATAAGGGAGTCAAAGTCTAATCAGGCTGTAAAGCAATCCTATGATTAATTCAGTGTAATAACTAGCAGGTGCAGAGGCTGTCATGTGATGGGAGTCCTTGTGCACCATGTCCAACCACCACTAAACTACATCTAATGATACCACTAGGATCTTAGCCTGTTTGAGAGGGAATCCTCAACTGAATCAAGGTAATTAAATGATTGGATTCATGCTAATTAACAACAATGGGGTTCAACTTTCTAATTATCCTAGCTCACACAGCACTCTCTGTAGCCACCCCAAGTGCAAATAAACCATTCCATCTGCTAGTAATTAGGCTTAATAATTTTAGACAATCGCTCAATGATTTACAATGCACATGCCTGATTACAGTCTAAATGTGTGCAGTGGAGAAATTAGATCATGATCTGATCATGGTTTGTACTCTTTGTTTATTGCAAAATCAGGGTTGCCTTATTATTTTTTGTTAATATACGTGTGTGTTAGCTTTTTTTTCCCCCACACAGCAATAAAATAAGACCTTTGCGCCTCTTGTACATGTTATACATAATGGTTTTTCATTTGCTTAATCTGCAAATTAAACGGCGATTGAGACTAAATCGTTTGGTACCATGGCACAGGGGCTGTCATCATCTACTGAGTGCCTTCCTGCAGAGAGTCATTTGAACGAGACAGACTGTCTGAACCGGGGCCACAGGCTGGGGACAGCGGAGCAACAAGACTGGGGAGGACTGTCTGCAGATCAAATGTGCGTGTGTTGGAGTGTGTGCGGCAGGCGACGACAGCCACCTAATGAAGGGATGTGGATAATAGTCCTCTTGGACGATCGGATATGTTTCCAGTTCGCTGCCAGATGCTGGGGACGGAGAAAAGAAGTGATCATGTAGGAGGCTGGCTGAGCACACACACACAAATCATCTCATCACTGCATGGATAAAACACACCAAACCAATCTCTCTTGGCTCTCAGAACCAAACCAAGCATAAAATACCATCATAATTAAATTAAGGGTTTACTTTCAGAAACATCCTCTCACAATTAATTCAATCAGCAAGGTACATGATGCTACTGCCAGGGGAAGATTAGCAGGCTTAATTAACAGGGTATGAATGTTTAAAGAGTGAGAGCATGCATTAAGTGCATGTATACACACACAGAGATGTTCAAACTAAATGAACTTGTAGGCTCTAATTAATATTGTGTCAGAGCTCTAAAAGACGTTCAGGCCAGATAACAGCACAGATGTGACATCTACACATAACAGGAGCAAAATTAAAGAACACTGCACGTCGAGAACAACAGTGCTGTCAGAGAGGAACGGGTTTTTTTACAGTCACTGTCAGAAAAATTATAACATTAGAATAAAAACCCAAAAAAAGTTAAAAAGAAATAAATTGAAAATGCTAATTAAGTGAGAAAAACAGAATTTCTTTTGCCTAATTGTTTCACTATTTGTTCTATATGAAGGTTTGAATTAAGTTTTAGTCAATTTTGACAAGAACAGTGCTATATTTTATGCTTTACTTTTCAATTAAGAATATATTAACCTTTACCCAAAAAACAAGAAATATATGATTCTAAAATACACTTGGATAAGTAATTATAGCAATAATAACTACTATTCCTACTTTTACTGTGACGAATAAAAAAGTGAAAATAATACTAAAAATCAATAATTAAAGGATTGTTAAAATAAATATTAAAGAAGAAATAATAATAATCTATTATTTATACCATTTTCTAACACACTAAACCACCTTTATATATAATTTATCAATAGCTATTTTTTATGCTCTCTGATTTTTGCTTTTTTTTTCTTGTCAAACACATATAACATTTAAACTTCTGTCAAAGCAGTTTCATCTTTTCCCAATTCTTTTTTCCAATTTCTTATCCAGAATTAAAAACGATAATAAAATAAAAATAATCAAGTAAAAAAAAAAACAACTTTGCAGGTATCACCTTTGCTCTTCTGCAATAATTCTCCAGCTGACTGAAGCGCATGGCCTGGAGGGCTCTCTTCACTTGGCATCTTTGAGCGTGCATCAGCCATGACAATGAGATAATCTGAACCGCCCGTTTGCGTCGGTAGTGGCACAGGTAGGCGGTTCTAGCCAAGTAACGCCTCCAGCAGGGCTGTATAAAGATGGCAGCAGCCTCACCGCCTCTCCTCTATATCGTTGACCTGGGCGTGAGACTAGATTCGAATACCTCCTCCTGATTTTCGAGCACCGGTAAGAGAGTGGCTGCATATGGAGTGTTTTTCCAACCCCAATCATAGTTGAGACAGAACTCAACAAATCGTTCTCAATTAACTTTAGCTAAAGGCACTGCAAAATCCCGGAGCAGTTTATTAAGGGCCTCCAAAGCAGTGACCAGGATATCATTTTTTTGTCAATCACATCTCTCAACTTTTTGCAACTTACTACCACAAATTTAAGTCAATTTTATTTTTTGGATTTTGTTTGTTCATATAAATCAACAATCTGAAATTGTGTTCTACATCGGTAAGGATCTCTGATACTCCTAAATAAAACTAGCATCAACCCTGCTTATCAACCTTAACATATTTTCACTCAATTAGAAATAGAAATTACTATGTGAGATCAATTAAGTCAATCAATCAATCAATCAATCAATCAATCAATCAATCAATATATTATGCTTTGGAGTGAGAATCCAAACAATGTGAGACTTCCAGAAACTGCTAACAATCAAAACTTGGGCAAGGATTTACCTTGTAGCCAGAGCTATAATGGGTATATTTAAATCAAAATGATATTTTGAGCATGGCCTAATCAAGGTACAGACCTAAGTACAACTGAAAATTGGAGCCAAAATTTGAAAGATTTCCCAAACTTTTAAAATGTTTGCAGATGTTCACCATCTAATTTGGGGGACTTAATCAGTTTTACAAACAAGAACAGGCAAAAGCTCTGTATCAAGGTGACACAAAATGATGGATACCCATTCTATAAAGTTAAAAAGCAATCCACTGAACTTTGTTTCCAAGTTTGAAGAGTTCGAGGCTTTACAGAGCAGACCAAAAACAAAGCCTCTATTACCATCTGTAATAGAGTGACTCTAGGACCAGTTTGATATAACACAATTTCATATAATTTATATAATTAGGGGGTCCCCGCTCCATCTTGCCATCAGTTTGGGGGTCCTTAGCCTGGAAAACACTGAAGACCCATGGTCTACATTATTCATTGGTTTTCCATTTTCAAATAGGCTACCCTATGAGAAACTGTCTGTCTGTCTGTCTGTCTGTCTGTCTGTCTGTCTGTCTGTCTGTCTGTCTGTCTGTCTGTCTGTCTGTCTGTCTGTCTGTCTATCTATCTATCTATCTATCTATCTATCTATCTATCTCAAACTCCAAGTGTTTGTTTCTCCTGACATTCTTTCCAATGTCCTCATGTCATTTTTTTGTTCTTCTCAGACCACTGAGCACAGTGACAGACCATGGGTACTGGCCAGGTGCTGGACGATTCTCCCCTCACAGGCACACATCTGTTTCAGACAGGGCTGGAGGAAAAGTTCCCACCTTTTGTAAAATTGCAACAATGCAAAACTCCCATCCCTTGGCACAGATATGGAGTAGAAAAGAACTGGGCTCAGTTTTGGGAGGCGGCACCAGGCAGAGAGCCAGTGGTTAGCAGTTGGTGAGGCTACGGCTGTCTTATTGGCATGCAGGAACAGGTAGTCGATTTTGTCTGGAGACAGCTGTAAACCAGCAGCCCATAGCACAGCAATCAGGTGCCTGTTTCTTTAGAAGAATGCTGATGTGCTACAATCTGCTGTTTTCCACTGTGTAGCCAGCACCTCCATCTCTCTGACCACTGTGACAGTTTTGGCCTCTATCTGGAATGTCAGGTACAGATTAACAAATCATATTGACAAAGAAAGTGTGTAAAAAAAAACTTAAAACTAATGTCGACCTTTGCCAAGATCCATTTCTTCAATATAGGAGTGGGATGTCTTCACTAAGTCAAGTGACCTTTATGTCACAGTTTATTTGAGGAGACTTTAAGAGTCTAAATGCAGACACATAAAGAGTTGCATTCTTAATAAAATATATGTTGACTCAATAGTAAAATTTAAAAGCACAGAGATCTAACATTTATTAAAAGAAAATAGTGATTCTATTGATAAAAGTTTAGGTTGGGCAAATGTCACACAATGTGAAGACGAACTTCACCCACAAAACCAATGCTTCTATAAATCCACCCTTTCCTTTTCTATACCTGCTTATCATTACAGTATCTCAGGCGGGCTGGTACTTATCAGTAGTCACTGAGTGAGAGGGAGAATACACCCTGGATATTTGTTTTTTAGGAATTAAAAACTATAATATTGTGATATTAAAATATCACAATACCATATCCAGATTTCTTTGAAGCTTCAATTTCTTATTTTGACCAATTCAATATTTTTCTTAGAGGCTGCAACAGATGAGATAAAATAAATATATTCTAGGTTCATCTGTGAAGGTTTTAATTTTAAATGAGTCCAGGTATCCATCAAATAAATAGTGCAAACTTTTGTCTGCACATTGCTGTACATAGTTTTCTTTAATGTATTAAGAGATTGAAAGTTGTTTTGTAGTGTTGACGTATTTCTTAGACGAAAAAGAAATTAAATTAAGCAGTTCATGAGAAGAATGGCCAATGTGGCCAATCTCTAAATTAACTTTTTTTTTCACATTTTGAAAAAATAGGGCAGGTTATCTTCTAGCCTACCAACTAGAATCATTTAGTCTAAAGACTGTTATTTAGGATTTTGGTAATAAAATAAAATTATTGGTTGCAACCATCTTCTATCGACAGAATTAATTATTCCCATACTGAAATTATAGTCATAAAATGCTTTTAAGAAGATACTTCATGGCACATAAAACACAGCAAGTTATATTCAAGTCAATGTAGCTAAAAGAACTGGTGTTCATCTGAATGTTTGAATGTCCTTTTTTTTCACTCAGATATCACCCATTTAAAGCCCAGCGGCTCAAACGTGAGGCTATTTTCTTTCTCATCTCTCATATTGGAAATTGTTCCTGTTTGGACTGGAAAGGGGACTGACTTGGAAAGGGCTGTGGTCACAGATAAGAACATTTCAAATGGAGTATATATTTTCTATAATCCATGGTATTTAAACCTCCTTTATGACCCATAACACAAGGGATTAATCCGGATTAATCCTGCGGCTCCAAGATCTTAACTTCTTCTGCAAGATTATCTAGTGGCACTGTAATATTTGCACTTATGTAATATAGTATAAGAATTCGATTCTGGGTGCAAACAGGAGGTTTAAACTTGAAAGCCCCTGATGTGATTAATATTTGTGTCAACATGAATTCATCTGGGATTATGGCGGGGCAGTAAAAGCTATTTTCCTGTTGTCGAGACAAAACAATACATAGAAAAGCTTTCCAATTTTATAAACTTACAGGAGCACATTTCTGAGGGGCTCACGTTGGCCAACTACCAGATCTAAATTGGATTATCTCTGCTGTAGAGTCACTTCATCAGTCCAGGCAGCATTCTTCAAATGATTCATTAACTGAGGGCATATGCAGGGATATATGCAGCAGTAGGCAACCTTGTTATAGATAATCTTAAGCATAAAAAAAGACCTTTTTTTTAAGTGGAGTTTTGGAGATTGAAAAATGTGTTTTAGACAGAGGTTAAAATAAACAACAAATGTTCTTCTCAAAAGGGTATTTCTTACTCTATCTTTGAAACCTTTGCCGCAATTGATAGATAAGTCATATTGTTTCATTGTTTACAATTTATGTGTTTAAATGTTACATAATTTGTTAACTAATCATGTATTATCTAATTTTAATGTTCAGATTTATTCTGTACTGGAGCAGTTTTGTAAATCGGAGCTACAATAAAATCTCCGTCTCATGCTTGTAGGGTCATGTTGCATGTGGTGCAGTGGTCAGATTTCAAACCTATGTCCATCAAAGGATAACACAGAGGCAAACAAGAACAGACATGCAGACATATACTGGGAGAATTTAGATAGATTGTAGGGAGCAAGAATACTTGAAGAGAATCCGTATAATGTATGGCTGAGGAGAATATAAAACCCCAAATGGACTGGCCTGGATTTTATCCCATGATTAGCCTGCAGCAAGGTATAAGTACTAATTATTTATCCTATGGGTTTAATGTATGATGTACTTGGATAGGATATTGACTTTAAGGCCTGAGTGAAAAATAGTAGATAATGTACCTCTCTTCCAGGTAGTGCTCCATGAAACATCTTTATTTTTGTATGTACATCAGGGAAACTCTCAAAATAAGGGTATGAAACAATTCTTTAAGGATTAAAATCAATGGAACTCGTTCCTAATAAAACTGCTAAGGTTTGGCTACTGACCAAAGTATTTCCAAAATAATAAGTTTAGCCTCCATTCACTTACCATATATGAGTCTTTATGATATGTTTTTGTAAGTCCTTAATGGCTGGAAGAACCAGCTGCTGCTTATTCACAACTTTGAAATATCTTCTGCATGTTTCTGTCTGTCACCAGTTAATATTATAACCAGTGTTTAGTCAGTTCATTGGATCTCTTCTGAATGAAAATCTGCTCTGTTTATTATGAGGTGTTCTCATCATGATCCTAAGTTGGATCCTAATACCATTATCCAGAGCTTCAATATCCAGACTGGGACCCCTGTTGCTGCTGCAGATCTTTTCCATACAAGAAAAGTTTTTTGATATAATAAACACATATCTGACAATGCTGTGTCATCTAAACTAACCTTTGAAAATCACGTTAAATAAATAACATGAAACTTTTTCTAAAATAAAATGGATCCCAATTTATCTTGGTGTTTGGATATTCCAGACATTATTTATTCATTTATTATCTAATAATGTTTAGATGCGGAATAACGTGATAATGATAGTGCTAGGAATCATGACTTTCAACTTTTAAAATGACTTTCTACAGGAGCACCATGGAGTGATCTGACCAGCTGTCTCACTGTGTGGTGAGGAGGCTGCAGTGCCTCAGACTCGAAGAAGGTGGTGAGAACAGCAGAGAGGATAATCAGAGCTTCTCTTCCCTCCATAAAAGACATTTCATCCCAGCGCTGCGTGTTCCGTGCCTGTAACATCATAAATGACCCCTCACACCCCCACCATGGACTGTTCTCCCTGCTGCCCTCTGGGAAGAGGCTTTGCAGCATCCGATGCAGGTCCAGCAGATTCCAGAATAGTTTCTTCCCCACTGCCATTAGACTGCTAAATGTTATGTAAAATGGGTTATAAAAAAAGAAAATCTGAAATGTTAGAACTGTAACTATACAGTCATATGTTTACATCACTTTTTTTCATCACAATGTTTTTATCACTGCTGCTTACCTGCACTTTAAAAAAATTTAATAGTCTAGAGAGCCTAAATTTCTTTTTGTTTACACTTGTGTGTTCAAAATGACAAAATAAAATCTGTCTAAGTCTAAAACATTAACAGTAACCATGGCAACGGCATTTTTAAACACATTTATTTATATATCCTCTCATCCAAACAAATCTGTTAACAGTTTGTATGTCTTCGAAAGGAATATTTATTTTGTTCCACCAAAGATGAAAGAAGTTAATTTTAAAACTATAAATAATATATATCCATGTGCAGAGTTCTTAAGTTTAAGATTTAAATTTGATGTTAATGTATGTAACTTTTGTCAGAAAGATCTAGAAACACAAGAACATCTTTTTTACAATTGTTGTGTGGTTAAGTCTTTTTGGGACAAGATTTATGATTGGCTATCAACGAAAAATGTGAATCCTAATTTTGAGTATAAAGGAGTTAAATTTGGCATTACTTTTCATCATAAAAATGTGGAATTTTTATGTAATATTATTTTCATTAAGGGAAAATTCTTTATCTACAAGTGCAGTTCTTTAAAGTTTCTCCAAGTTTTCAAGCATTCCAAAACGATATTAAAAGTTTTCATGCCTCGATTAAGTTACTGGAGAACAACAAGGCCTTAAAGTTTTCAGACTTGATAGCAATATTCTTTATCTAAACCCCTGTGTTTTTTTGTATTTAATTTAATTAAAAAAAAATTTTTCTCATTATTTTATTTTTTTATGTTCATTTTTCTGAAAGAAAACTGTTATGGATGGCATATGTTCAATTTCTGTGTTTTTTGGATTTAGAAAATAAAAGGCAATATATATATATATATATATATATATATATATATATATATATATATATATATATGTATGTATATATACAAGGCCAACAACAAGGCCTTAAAGTTTTCAGACTTGATAGCAATATACTTTATCTAAACCCCTGTGTTTTTTTGTATTTAATTTAATTTAAAAAAAAAGTTTTCTCATTATTTTATTTTTTTATGTTCATTTTTCTGAAAGAAAACTGTTATGGATGGCATATGTTCAATTTCTGTGTTTTTTGGATTTAGAAAATAAAAGGCAATATATATATATATATATATATATATATATATATATATATATATATATATATATATATATATATATATATATATATATATATATATATATATATATATATATATATATATATATATATATATATATATATACATATATATATATATATATATATATATATATATATATATATATATATATATATATATATATATATATATATATATATATATATATATGTATGTATATATACAAGGCCAACAACAAGGCCTTAAAGTTTTCAGACTTGATAGCAATATACTTTATCTAAACCCCTGTGTTTTTTTGTATTTAATTTAATTTAAAAAAAAAGTTTTCTCATTATTTTATTTTTTTATGTTCATTTTTCTGAAAGAAAACTGTTATGGATGGCATATGTTCAATTTCTGTGTTTTTTGGATTTAGAAAATAAAAGGTAAAAAAAAAAAAAATTATATATACATATATATATATATATATATATATATATATATATATATATATATATATATATATATATATATATATATATATATATATATATATATATATGTATGTATATATACAAGGCCAACAACAAGGCCTTAAAGTTTTCAGACTTGATAGCAGTATACTTTATCTAAACCCCTGTGTTTTTTTGTATTTAATTTAATTTAAAAAAAAAGTTTTCTCATTATTTTATTTTTTTATGTTCATTTTTCTGAAAGAAAACTGTTATGGATGGTTTCTGTGTTTTTTGGATTTAGAAAATAAAAGGTAAAAAAAATATATATATATATATATATATATATATATATATATATATATATATATATATATATATATATATATATATATATATATATATATATATATATATATATATATATATATATATATATATTGTTCCAAACGTTACTTTAAAACAAGAAACTGTTCAATAAGTGAACACATTTGTTGCGGTTGAGCCCTACAATCCGATTTAAATAGCTTATATATTATTATTATTAATATTTATCCTAAATTTGAATCTTACGTGAACTTAAAGGTATTTTATTAACCGGAAGTGACGTATTCCGGAACTCGGAGTTCAAAGGTTATTGAAGATAGCTACGCTGTAAGCTAGCAGCTAAAAATCAGTTTCTAAATATTTTATGAAACATGTCATCGACAGAAGAAAACACGGACATGGCTTTGCCATGCGTGCTTGTCACTAGCTGTGATGGCGAATTTAAAGAAGAAGAGCTGATAAAACGTAAGTTTTCAGGGAACGGACAGCCCATTTTAGCTAGGAAGCTAATATTAAACAAGGCTAGCAGAGCGGACCAGATGACCCCAGCTACAGTATGGTAATAATTGAACAGTTCCTTAAAGTTACCATGTTGGTGAGACACGGTTTTCGCCTTTAGAGTGAAGCCTGGAATAAGAACGGAGGTTCAGACCTAAAAATGAGAATTAACAAATTGAAGATCTGAATATCAGGGCACCTGGTTTGTTGCATTAACATTAAAACTGGAAGCTGGTATCCAGTTTGACCTCAGTCAGTGTATTGCTTTGTTTTTCCTTTTCTGTGAAGTCTTCATGTCAGGTAATTTCAATTAATATTTTAATCTTAGTACATTTAATTAACTTCCAATTTCTTTTTGTCAGAGAGATGTTTTTTTTCTTTCTTTCTTCTCACTCCTTTTAGTGATGTAGATCTTAAATCAAATTTCTGTAGCTTAGATAATAATTCTATTCTTTTGATCCCCATATAAAAAGCTATCCCTACAAGAAGGCAACCCAAATAATAACAGTTCATATCTGGTCTGATTATAGCATAGAACCATTGACAGGCTGTTTATTATCAACAAATTGGAAAATATTTTATGAGGAGCAAAACTTGGACACTGCCACAGATGTAATCACAGATGTTATTAAATTCTGTGTTGATATTGTGATACCAACAAAAGAAACCAAGACATTCTCAATAGTTTGTAACGTGATCCCACAGCAACGGGACATGATTGATTTTGATCATGTTACCTTCAATAAGGTATTCAAACAGGTCACCGCCAATAAGGTCAAGATGGTATTTCAGTGTTCTTACTGTGAACTTTTGCAGATGTTTCAGCTATCTAAAAAGTTTTGCAGATGAATTGACACATGCTTAGCGGCCAACTTTTTCAGAGATCTGTTGATACTGATACTTTACTATCTTTGTGGAACAGGGGGATTGTTATACCTGTTCCCAAAAAACACTGCTCACAACAGAACAGACTTTAGACCTATCACTTTGAGATCTGTTGTGATGAAGTGTCTTGAAAAACTGGTGGTTAGTTAACTAAGATCGGATGTGTGTCCACAACTACATCCTTACCAATTTGCTTATACATGTAAGAGTAATTTCCCTCTGGGATTATTAAAGTATGTCTGATTCTGATAAGAGGCACTGATGATGCTTGCAATTTCATAGTGTGTCTAGTGGCTAAACATATGAAAAACCCCAAGGCTTTTGCTATACCGCTCTTTATTGATTTTAGTTTTGCATTTCATACTCTCCAGCCTCAAGTTCTTAATCAAACAAGCAAAAAATGTGAATCCATATATTATCAGCTGGTTTCACTCATTCCTTATTAATCATTCACAGCAAGTCATGGTGAACAGGACCTTATCTGATCTTCTCAACAACAGCACTGGCGCTCCCCAGGGGTGTGTCAGTTCACCTGTTCTATTCACCTTATATACCAATTACTGCAGTTGTAATACCCCAAGCATCCATTGTATATTATCATTTGAAAACTGTTTCTGTTTACTCTTATTAATTTGAATGATTTTAAAATGAAAGTATTTAACTAAATTATCTGAGTTTTGTTCAAATTAAATGTAGTTTTACTAGTGATGCTTCCTTATGTTTGATTTTTTTTTCTGTTCTTCTCTCAGAAATACTCAACTCACAGCATTTACCTCAGCCAACAAAGCGAGAGGACACGGTTGTTTGGTATCCTTGGACCATCAATAACAAATATTATACGGCTGATGTGCAGTTGTGTGTTGTACCAAGCACATATCAAATGTCTTCAGAGATTGCTCAGTCGATGCAGGCTTTCATTGCTTACTTTGACAGCAAAGTGGTATGTTACCTTTAGAAAAATGTATATTTTCCTACTACAAATTTATTTTGGTTTGCTGTTTATATTATATATGTTTGATGTTTGTAGAAGGATGGACTGGAAAAACTGAATCCCTGGATTCCTGTGGTGGAAGATCTCAGCCCAGAGGTGCAAATTCTCGTGTGCGACAGAGTCTGTGAAAATGGTTAGTTAAAGGAGTCTGTTGGTGTATAAGCAGAATATAAACACCTAAAACAGCATCAGGAAACGCATGAAATTTGATTTATTCTTTAGGTGTCACTAGGCATGAAGCACAACAGTGGTGTTTGTCCCATGCATTTGAGCTTGTGGAGATCAATCCACAGGAGCTACCAGATGAGGACGGTGAGTTCTGCTCAGAAAAAAAAAAAACATACATCTGCTTACAGGATCTTAATGGGATTCATTTTTACTAATCATTGTCGCACATTCCAGATGACTTTCCAGAGTCAACAGGAGTAAAGAGAATTGTCCAGGCTCTTAATGCCAATGTGTGGTCCAGTGTGGAGATGAAGGATGGTAAATGATAAACTCAGTTCAGCTTGATAAGAAATATTCTATTTGTATGATGGTTTGTGAATATGAGGGGGTATGACTGTTTGGCATCTTTTTTCAACAGGGCACAATCAGGGTTTTGGTCTAATGAGCAGCTTCGTTGCTTCCAGACATAACAACCCACGCCACAGCCATGATTCACCGGTTAGATTATGTCTTCCATTCATTTAATATTAACTAAATTTGCAACACCTTGACCTGTATTATATTATATCTTTTATTGGAACAGTCCTGCAGCCTGCCAGCAGAGGGCACACTCACAAGTGAGGAGACCAACCATACAGACAGTGGTTCAAACCGTGACACTCAGGAGGTGTCAGTAGTAGGCAAGTAATATCACTTTAAACATTTGTTGGACCAATTTATTATCCATGTTATGAATTAAACTGAATATGATGTCATTCTTTGCAGATGCAATGACTAATTTAGACATACAGGAACTTGCGAATCTAACTGCTGGGGATGCAGATGCAGAAAATTTTGAGCGCCTATTTACTAAATTAAAGGAGATGAAAGGTAATTAGGGATAGTTTATTGTTACTTTATTGTATTGCTACTTTGTTTGAATGTTGTATATTCTTATACTTTGAAAGCATTTCTGATATACAACCTAATTTGGATTTTTTTTATCTCACCATGCAGATAAAGCTTCATCTTTACCACATGAGCAAAGAAAAGTTCATGCTGAAAAGGTTAGTAACTAAACTGCTTCTTTTTTCTCAAACAGGTTAAGCTTCAGGGCCTTGGAAATGTAGTCATACGCCGTATTTTCAATTAATTGCAAAGATAATCTTCAGAATATCACCTAAAATGATGATTTTAGTTAAACAACAAAAAAAAAAAAAATGAAATGCATGGCTGCTTTACTTTGATACCTCTATATATGCTCAGATATTCAAGACTTTTTAGATTTGTATCTTTCACTTATAAAGGGGTAAGCAACTCTGAAAGAAGTTCTGGTGAGCACCACAAAGCCTACATGACAAGAAAACCTTTTTAATTGTTTGATTTAATCAAAATATTTTTTTCTTTAAATAAAAAAACAAAAAAACAATCTTTGTTGTACTGATAAACAACCTATTTAATCCCTATATAAATATTTGCAGTAAACCAAATTTAAAGGGCTGTTTGGATGCAATATATGTCAACATGTCATATTTTAGATGCAATAAATTCATATTTGTTGGATGATCAACTTTAGCTTACACACACACATGTTTGAGGTTAAGATGCTAGAGCTCACAGAAAAGGCTGGGAACATAATGACAGTGTATTTTTGATATTATTGCAACTAATTTAAGCATGGGAAAAATACAACTATTTATGTAGAACAGGCTCAGTTGACTAGTGTAAAAATTGATAAGCAATGCATTTTGTCTGCAGCCAAATAATGGTAAATTCTTCCTTGCACCAATTATGTTAATTTATGGTGGAAAACAGAAGAGCAAAAAGAAAAAGCAGTTTATAATCTGTCCATATTAAATGGGACTATATCATGCTAAATATTTCAACTCTTATAATGCTATTCCTTTATCAACGGCATGCCCAAAGTGCTATTTTGCAAAATAGACCCGGAAAACAACTTTCATAATGAATACTCTATAGTGCCAAAGGCAGTGTTTTTATAATTGGTTTATAATTCCTATTGTTGAATTTGAAAGGCTTAAAAAACATGATATAGAGACTATAAAAAAACTTGCATTTCAATTTTGGAAAGCTTTTTGAGTCTCATTGTGAAGGGCCCCAAAAGGCATATTAAAAAATCCCCCCAACAAACATTAAAGTTTTCAGCCAAAAATGACATCACAAAGGTTCATGTTTTAACCACAGATAGAAGGGAAATAAACATGGGTCGTTGAAGGTAGAAGTGTAAAATTTCAGTTTAAAAGTGAATTTTGGTCTGAAAACTTTTTGTGGTTTCCAGGTGGCAAAGGCCTTTTGGATGGCTATTGGTGGAGAAGAAGATGAAATAGATGGGTTATCTTCTGGTGAAGACAGCTAAAATCGGTTACCTGCGGCTCAGCCATTGTCCCTCCACTTTTTTTCTGGGGTCAGCACAGGTGCCTGTTGACGTTCTCATCATACTTGGAAGGTGGATTCGCTCACAGGTGGCACTGTAAGAATAGTTCTGAGATTCTTAGAATGAAACAATGTATACTGAAATACTATTGAGAGGGTAAGCTATGTGTGGCCCCAGTCCTTCCTCTTCTTCCCCAGCGTCCTTTAATATGCTTAAGCCCTGTGTGATCTTCAATAGAAGGTTGGAACTGGGTGGAAAAAACATGGGACATTTGATTCATATTTGTTTTTAGGTAGTTTCAACATATGTTTTTGTTACATATGTGCCTTATCCATGAAAGACTTAATGATCATTCGGATAAATCAGCAAAACCATTTCTTTTTTTAGTTTCATAGTAACTTTCATGTATTTATTGTGAACACTATCTCACAACTGCCGTTTTTACTACTCAATTTGGTTCAAACAGATGCTATATGTAGAAATGGAAAAACAATGTACATCAGCAAATAAAATGAGTAGTTGAAACAAAGGTTTGTTCATTCAGTCTATACAGTGCCTTGCAAAGGAAATCACATCACATAAGCATTTCCCAATTGAGAAACCACAAACTAATGAACTTACTGGGATTTTGTGCGTTAGATCAACATAAAGTTCAAAGGTGTGCAGTCTGATTGAATGAAATGCATTGCTTTTAAAAAGAATGCATGCATTTGCAACTAGTACACCATTTCTGAATATAGAATTCAATTGTCTTGTTAATTCACCTGAGCGATAAATGGTGTATATTTTAATCTCAGCTCTACTATGAAGTTATCAAATATATAATTTTTATTTTAAACAGAATGGAGATTAAAAAGCAAAGTGGAAAGGTCAAACATATGTCAAGATAAACCTTAAAGAAAAGAAAAGCAACAAATGTTATTATTAGCTCTGGGCACAGAGGACTGTTCAATCCATCATCTGTAAATGGGAAGAGTATGACAGATGTAGTTCTTTTAAAAAAATGTCCATCCATGTAAACGACAGACAGACTAGTTAAGGAGATTCTCAATCAGAACTCATCCAGTGTTCCTCTGGAGGAGCTGCAGTGGGTATAGTAGAATCTGAAGCACGACTATCAGTCATGCAGTCCAAAAATCTGATCTTTAAGAAGGAAGCAAATCAATGTATCCTTAGGAAACATTTGATAAAATGAAATTGATTGCATTGTTTTACAGCTGTATTAAGTTGGGATGCATTTAAGAGGTTAGATGAGTCCATAACACTTTAAGTACCGGTATTTATTCTAAATGCTTAATGTGTGGTGGGAATACTTACAAAGCTCAGTCTTGGTCAACCATAACCCTAATGTTTAACTGTGGTAGTGACATTATGCTGTACAGGTGCCATAAATCCTGTCAGATGTGGGAGCAGGCTGAGATGAGAGAAAGATGGATAGAGCTACAACCTTGGAGAAAAACTGTTTAAGGCTTCAAAAGATGTGAAAATTGCTGTACACAGACACTCTTCATCCAGACTGACTGAGGTGCAGCTAGCAGCGGCATGCTTTAGAACATATTTTGAAAAATATAAAAAATTGCGGTATTCTCTCCCAATTACATCAGTCGGTGCATCTGTGCCTCTTGACACAGGTTAATTAAGTTCAAGACTCATCCTATCTATAACATCCTATCTTTGTGAAGCGGGATTTTCTGCGGTTACAGCGACCAAAACAAATCTACGGAGCAGACTGGACATCAGGAGCACACTTCGTGTGTCATTGTCTCTGATTACGCCTAGACAGCCGGTCCGTGAAAATATTGTCTGACATATAGCTGGCCGTGGTGCAAAAAAGGTTGGGGACCGCTGCTTTAGAAGACCTACAATTAACAGTTTAGTTTGCCAAATTCAAAACTACAGTAAATGCAGTTTCCACATAAGATTGGCTTTATACCTCCAGCACAGACTTAACTTTGGCAAGCATCTATTGGGAGAGTTTAAATACATATTTAAAGATTTAGGAAACATTGAGAAGACTCCTCTGTAGCATTTTAATAAAAGTTCACATTTATAATAGATCAGTTGACAAAAGGGAAATAGCCACATGTATGTAAGACATCACCCAGAAAAGCAATGAAAAAAATAAAGAAACAGATACCTACCAACAACATATCGCACCAAAGTGCACATAGGCTACTACCATGCCAGTGTTAGGAATCACATGGAAACACAGCTTACCAGAAGTGCAGGATGTACACTGTTGAGTCAGAGACGGTGGCAATGACAGTAACAATACACATGCCTTATATTATGACACTGTACATATAGTATGTTATTTTTTTTGGCAAGCATTTACCGGTACTACAAGGTAATATGATAAGCACTGTAACCTGGAAGTGTGTTGTTTATCCACAAGGAAAGTGATTTACAACAGTTTGTTCTCATTTTCACCCCACAGTTCTGTTTTCTAAATTCCTCTGAGGAAAACTGTCTGCCATATTACCTCTATTAAGAGAGAAATAGTGTTTGACACAGAAGCCTGGTCCAGACGTTGTTAGTAAAGTCTTATGAGTCAGCCCTACAGCAGAGGTCAGTCAGGATCACTACTTCAAGAATTTTTCCTACATTAAATTATAACATTTATGTACAGTCATATTTAGGAAATCATAAAAATATATTCCCATGTCAGATAATATGCAAAAATAACTTCTGTCTCTTTCACAGAAAAAAATAGTTCATACATTTTTCTTTTTTACAGAAACAATAGTGCTTTGTTTTTCTTTGGGTAGACAAACTACCAATCATATCATAAATTAGAAAATATATATAAATAAATGAATATAGGGAAAGTAGTGTCTTAAAATGACAATACAACAACAAATGAATACCTGTCATATTATTTCCTGTATCAGGTCAAACATTCTCCTCCATTTAGAAGCTAAAACATTAATGGTAACTACTAATCTTGGTTAAATCACTTAATTAGTCAAAAAAAAAAAAAAAAGGCAAGCTAAATTTAAAATGATCTAAGCTTGCGGAATAAGTATTTGAAGTGTCTGTATGGAGAAAAAAAAACTGCATTACTAAGTAATGAAATATTTGAATGATTAGTTAAACCTGTTTCATCTTCTCAAAAACAAAATAAAGCCAAACCACAAACTCTCTAATATAGTGTAACAATCAGCTGCTTACAACTCATGATTTAAAATAAAAGCGTTTTGAACAGATTGAATCTTTTTCAAAATGTGAGACCAAGCAGATACATGTGCATTCAGAATTACATCATCATTAAAACCTTCATTTAGGTCATTCACTTCATAAAATGAAACTTCAATGTACACAGGCATGTGCAAAGCATTTAGTACTGTTCATTTAGATGAAGTAATCCTGTTAAATGTTTGATTCAATATTCTAAATTTCCATGAAACTTAATCTTGGGTTAATAATACTAATCAAAAATAACAGAATTAAAAAGATAGATCACTCTGGTTTTAATGTGTCTAGAGCAGGGGTCACAAACATCCCTGCGGCTAACAACCTGCCCTCAAGGATCACACAAGTGCCCTCAGCATCTTCTAAAAACAGAACAACTTACCAGTGGGCTAAGTTTGATTTTTTTGTTTTGTTATTATTATTATTTGTTGCTCTTTTTTAATCTCTGTAGAACATTTCATCACAGTAATCAAACTAGAAATTAAAGGTAACAAAAAATATGTTTATGTTTAAAGCTTAGGTGAACACTGGTGCCTCCCATTCATCGGTCAGTATTGATAGCCCTTCTTATGAAGTAGCCCTCAGCCTTAAAAACATTGGTGACCCCTGGTCTAGAGGTTTTGAACTGAACTACAGAAATAAACGCTTGACATTCCATTGAGGTGCCCTTGTAGTGAAATGAACAATGCTTCTTTCTTCATCACTGACAACACTTTGACATTTTTGCAAAAGGTTTGCACTCAGTTGCATGTTGACACTAGTTTTCCTAAGAGACACTGGAGCAGTGGATACTGGGAGAGCCCATCTGCGTAAGGACCTTGTCCAGCCATTGCAAAGGGCCATTTAGGTGCAGCTCAATCCAGCAGGGGGTGCTAGTGACCGTCTGACGTCTGCAGATTAGACACACAAGACAATTATTAGTGTGGGCTCAGTTAAAGTACTGCATCATAGCGCTAAATGTGTAGAGTAAAAGTGAAACAGGTAATTGTTTGAAATTTTTAGCATGTAATGCATACCTTACTATGTAGAATTAACTGAATTAACCCACAAGCAAAGCTAAAAGTCACACAAGCCTCTAAGCCATTTAATCGTTTACAGGAGATGTTTTCCTCTAAGGTGTTTGGTGGGACAGAAACGCAATACCCACATATCCAGAGTCTTGTGGAAATCCCCTCTGCAAAGAAATCGACCCTCCTGTTTCATGTCCGCCACACCACCACAAGCATGCATTACTTCCCCTCTGTCACAGCTGCACTCCCCCGCTATCTGACTGAACGTAAGCAGCAGTTTGAAAAGGTTTTACTTATGTCCTCCTCATTAAATAAATCCTTTACTATTATTAAAACAACATCAATCTCTCTCCCTAAAAAAATCACAAGACTTCAACCATTGGAGACAGGATATTTACTAAACAACGGATTTAGATTTACAAACTTCTGAGTATTAGTAGTATCATCACAATATAATGTTATGTGCTCTGAAAAACAAATTACAGGAATAAGAGGAAGCAGACCTAATCCCTGCAACAGACCTCAAGACCATTAGATTTAAATGGCATCCGAAGTGTTTTAATATTTTTGACCATCTGTATGATAACCAAACATTTAATTGTTTGTCCTTGTTTTAAAAACAAATGGAACTAACTAATAGTTACTGAGAAATAGAATCTACAAGCTAAACCCACTTTTCTGACCGATTTGAAGCCAATTCAAAATATTTACCTGTACTCGGCTCCCCATCCCTTCACAAAACTCATGCGAATGGTGCACATCCTGGTTAGCTGGTAAACCGCCTCGAAGCCCTGGTTGACAGACTGAGCAAGGAGGGCAGCAAACTCTTGGTTGTTGAAAATCTTCAGGTTGCATCCTGTCAAAATGTGTTTAGACTTAGTGTTGCCCAGACTAAAGACACGTAGTTTGGGTAGAACATTTATAAGCCAGGTAATACTCCAACTTCAAAGCCTACCACATTCATAGGGAGTCAGAATAACTCAGAGGAACATTTATCGGCTCCCTGAATGTACCCATGAGTGACTGTGCGGTTGAATTAACATGAACAAATATATACCTTAATAATGTGAATCCTGCGTTCACACTTGTTCGCCTTAAATCACATGGTTCTAATAGAAGCTCTACCGGTGTTTAGCACACCCCAAATGTTTGCTTTTTTTGTAACAACAAAGAAGGGAATGAAAGATCTTTTGGAGACTTAATGCCATTTTTCCACATTTGTCTGACAGTAACCTTTGGAGATACAGTAGAGGTGATAGATGTCTGTAATTTACATGATGGACATACTTCAATCATGAGAGACACAATGAAAAAATATATATAATCCAGAAAATGACATTGTAGAATTTCTTCTGGCTTCCACCCTTTACTAGCCTGACGTAGTCCTACTCAATTCTAGTCAGAATATGAGTCTGATGCTGCTCCATAGAGCTGTGATTATGGGGCGTGTTTCGAACGAACCAGGAAAAAAAATGCCTCTGCACTCAATTGGATAGACCTACAACCAATAAGAGCAACGGAATGCGTGACGTATGTTAAGCGACGCATAGTTGTTGTCAACAAAAATCAAAGCGTGCAGTTGCACGCCTATAATAAGAAGATGAGCCTTGATCGTGTTTCTCTGTTCCTCTTTTAAAATTAATTTGCTGTCGATATCTTCTAGAACAGACCTAATAGCAGAATCTACACACCTCAACCCTCATTGTTGTTGTCGCCTAAGCGCAGCTTGGGTGACATGGTTGATTACGTTACTGTTGATCATCTGTCCATCATCGTATAAAGCCCGCCCTGAAAATTTGATTGGCCCTCCAGATATTGTGCGAGCATACTCGCGCCACTATTGAGCAATGCCAGACCGAACTTCCCGACCTCAAACGTTGTGGGCGGGACTAAGTTCGGAATGGCACCCAGGCTAACCCTTTACCTTAATTAATGGCATCTGTTAAACTTATCTGTATAAACGACAACTTTCTGCAGCCTCAAATCTGAAAATCATCCCTAACACTAACCCTACTCACTGAGGCTGCGACACCCGTTGGTGAAGAGTTAGTGCATAGGGTGCAGTTTGGGATTGGGACCCAAACTTCACCATGACCAAGACTAAAGAGCTGTCAAAGGACACCAGGAAGAAAACTCTTGACCTGCTACAGGCTGGGAAGGGTGACACTGTAGTCTAACCTTTGTTCACAATGGTTAGTGCAAAGAATTGAGTTGAACTTTTCTTATTGACCAGATCCTTATTTTTACATAATTTACAAAGAAATTATTTAGAACAGCTACGATGCGTTTCATGGATTTCCTTTTCTCTTTCTTGCTTATAGTTAAAGCGTATCTACGACGAAAATTACAGACTTTGCAAAATCCATTGCTGACAATACTTCTCATCCAGGCTTAATTGTCACAATTACCATTTTTTGTAGGGCCTATATGATGCATTATCTACTTTTTTGAGCTTTTATATATTTAAATATTCCTTCATCAGAACAAAGCACAAAGGGATAATATGCTTGATTCATGCATCTGAGTAATCCCCACGAGTTCTGTTGTCTGGGCAGCAGCCCCTCCCTGCCCTGTGAAAATGAGCGGTTGAAGAAAAACTATGTAACGTACCGCTGTGATTTATTCTGTGCAACTAGCCTGATCCCAATAAGGCTAAAGGCTGATTTATACTTCAAAACTAGGTCGTCTGCGTAGGTTTCACGGTGAACGCAGAGACGTCTCCGCTCCCTCCGCAGACACTCTGCAGCACCTCTCCCAAATAGTAGGTGACCGCATACAGTGCCATAGACAGGAGGCCTCTGATTGATCAGATCTACATCCGCTCTACACTATGCATATCTCCTGTTTGGTACCTTACTGGCTTGTTTTGTTTGCTTGTTTTGACTGTGCATTGTGGAAAATGTCTCGTGAAGTTGGACCAGCTAGAAGAGCGAGGGGCGCGAGAACGCTGGGACCCTTTTTCCACCTTTTCGCACTTTTTTCGCCCTAATGTCCATCAGTTGTTGGACAAACTTGCCCCAATTTCCTCACCGCCTCGGCCGTATCTAGACCCACAGCTAGTTCGTGATTTTCCCCTTTTGCATTGTGGCGTGCTATAAACTCTTCAATATTGAGCATAAATCAAAAATGTCTGCGTCATATCTGTGACCCGCTCACTGCGACACTCTGCTGCGGGAGTTTAACCAGCCCTTTAAGAGTCAGGCTTAAGGGCGGATTATACTTCTGCAACCACACACAGCCAGTTTCGCTTGCGTCTGGTCACAAACCAGTTTTGCTGGTATGCTTCTGCAACGTCGGTCTGGAATTTCTAGGGACGCACAGCAGTTTCTCGCCAAAGCGCTAGGGGGAGCCTATTTGGGAACTTACGGGAACTTTGGCGGATGATCACGACAACTTCTTCGGCGGCGCTGGCGGGAGTGTTTATTTTCCAAAACAACATGTCTGAGGCATCGTACAAGTGGTTGTACTTCCAAACTTCCTCGATCAACCTTTTTGTCGTGGTTATCCATTGTTGTTATTACTCCTCGGTTTTTTTAAAATGCGTGCCCCGGCACCGAATCGAGAAGGACGACCACACAGACAGCCGGAAAGGCATACCAAGGACCAATCACAGCCGCTTTTTGTCAGCGCACTTCCGCTTGAGGTCTGCACAGGTTTGCAACCGTCCAACGTGTAGCCAGGATTTTTTAAGATGCACGATGACTCTTGCAGAACCTCTGCGCGGGGGGGCATTGTCGCACACAAAGACAGATTTGACGGTTGCAGAGGCTATGCCTCAGGAGAATAAATTGGCCTTTGCTCAACCCTGGTCCCTTATTTGTTCAGTCAGCATCACATAAATCAGAAATCAATTAATTTTGTCAGTGATTCTTTTACCTTATCTACTTGTGATGGTCTACACGGTAAAGTACAAGGGCTGCAACTAACAATTTTTTTGCACCTCGGTTAATCAGTCGATAAATTTTTCGACAAGTGGTCTAGTTGTCATTTTTTAAATTAACGATTCCCTAATCTTTTTCTGGTGCAATGGACTATTCAAAATATAACGCCCCTCAGGAGCACATAAATGTGATTTTGAATGTTGTAGCAAAAAATTAAAATCATATCCGCTGTTTAATAAAGTGTTTTTAATGCCTTTATCGAACTTTCATAAAATACTTTATCCCAAGTCTACTGCTTTTACAGTCAAAGATTTACTAAACTAAACCACAGAGAGAAATTATATCAAGACAAAAAAAGTTATATTCATCTATAAACCTTAAGATCTGCACATTACATAGTGATATCCACTGTTCATTTATAGGTAAAACAACTTATACTTATTTAAATATGATGTTTGCTGTTTAGGAAAGTAATTAGGTAATGAGTATCTTAGGCTGTTTACAGTAGGCATTTAGTAGATCTGCTGTTTGCTGAATCAATCTACTATAAACTTAAGGGTCTCTTGAAGAAATCTCTGTAAACCTCTGGTTTTGCAAAGCAAAAAGCAAAAGCATGTAGATGCGTTTTAAATACAATTTCTTGTATGATTATTGATTTTGCCCATTTGGCAGAATCCTGACTTCATAGAAAACACTTTAAGGCATTTACACAACTGAAGGAATGGATATTTGTCTAAGATGATGCTACTTCAGTAAAAGCATACATATCCTTTAGATATCTTTAATCTACATGAAATGTTCTGGGCATTGGATTATATCTCAGATTACTTTTTAATGTCATGTGCATCACTTTCACACTGACCTGGAGGTATTTTGCACACTGTGGCCGGATGCCACCCATATCGCTGGTTGCAGTTTGGGCTTTGAACAAAGATGGCACTATCACTAAGACACTCTGCAAACACTTCTCCTCCAATGTAATACAACCTTACACCACGTCCTGGAAAAGGAGCAGAAAAGACTGTAGCCAAGCAAACAACTTACAGGTTCCTTCAAGAATAAAGATGAAAAGCAAGGACGGGCTAAAAGAAAACAAAAAAAGGTTGTACCGATGTGTCGGCGCGTGAGCTCTACGGCTGAGTTCCGGTTAACGTTGGACAGCAAACCCAGACAAAAGCGCTCAGAATTGGAGGGGTCTGTGAATCCGTCCACAGTGAGGGAGGGCTGGGATGCATGGAAGGTCTCTCCTACGCGCTGGTTCAGCTCATAGTAAGAGATGGAACACCAGAACGCGGATTCGCAATATGTCACCGGCTGCACGTCTGGATTGGTGGAAAATTAGAAGATATTAGCAGATACAGGCTTATGTTACTAAACAAGCAAAACATTGTCTTGAACTATGAGTCAGTAAAAGCTTCACTTAGAAATAAATCATTCTGCTCACCATAGCGGTGAGTTGCAATGTCCACAACCAAAAAAAGAAACAAACATTATAAAGAGCAAAAGAAAACCTATGTATTCCAATGAGGACGTTCACAAAAACACATTGTGTGGTCATGTGGTATCTGCAGGGAAAAAGTTTGCAGTTCTAACTGAAGTTTTGTATTTACAGTACTTGGTGTCTTAACATTGTATCACATTACAAAGACCCTTTCATTTATTCAAATGGCCTTTTAAGAGATAGATAACCACAGAGTTGTACATGTAGTTGTGAAGTGGAAGTCTGTACCTTCAATATTAATCATTGTCATCTTTTTTTGTTCTATTGTACTTTTGTTTCTTTGTGTGTATAGTGTATATATAATAAATACAAAAACATTTCTGAACATGTGAGTGGCTGCAAATGTTCTGAATGATTTCTAACCGCACTAAAATATTGGAATACACTGAATAATAGCCATATTTAGAAGATTTGCAGCACAAATACATGAAAGGTCTGATATTCACTGAGTTATTGATTTATTATGATCCTACCACATATAATTACTCTGAGTTGGGGTGGTGCCACCATGTTTTGCCAGCGCCAATAGGTGATGGTGGTCTATTAATATATTTCTCTATGTACTAAAAAGTCAGTCTTTATTAAAGGAGCCATTTTGATGAAAGAAATGAAAGAAATAGCTAACAAAGCAATGGGTTAGACAAAAATACTAAAAGTTCAGAATGTTAAAATGAATATCAAAACTAAAAAGGAACTAGAAAACCAAAATATTTAATTAGTAACTTATTACTCAAGGCCATAACAGAAAAATAAATATCTGTAATTTGACTCCGGTTATCATTTATTGTTACACTGCCCCACACTAGATGATGAGAAGAGAAAAACTGAGCCGTTTGATTTTATCTTACTAGGATTACTGTTGGTGGGTGAAACGGGGCTGGGTGGAAGGCTTGGTGAACCTAAAACAGAGAGCAGGGTTGGATCATGATTATGATGAGGGGATATTCAGAAAATTAGGGCCTAGGTAGTGAATATAGTGATGAGTCTCACTTGTGTCCATGCTGTGGTTGACTTGGTGTTCATTCGCCTCACCATCTTCACTCAGATACCCTGGAGGGGGCGTTTCTGTAATAAACGGCACATTTAACAACCAAAACCTGACAAACGTCACATTTTCAAGCCTAGAATGTTTTTTATGCTTTTGGAGAAACAACAAAGCAGTTTTTTAAACAGTTATTTTTTGACAGACATTTCAATGTTTCATGTCAAGAGATGCTCGAATATGTTTTCTAACATATCTCGTTTTATTACCAAGCTAATATATGCACAAAAAAATATTGTTCAATGGGAGAAACCTGACAGTTTAAATTTAGAGAAACACAATATCTCTCACCAGGTATGTAGTTGCTCTGAGGCTCAATGCCGGATGGAAAATTGGTATTTTCAGGTATTGATGGACTGTAGTCGTCTAGTGGTGGAAACTCAGCGGGAATATCTGAGTGCCGCGGCACCAACACAGGCGGCAAAACTAGAAAAGTACAAGAGATCAGTTCCATTTATGGTTTGCTACATGATTTCAGCTATCTGTAGAGCACAGTAATCCAAAAACTCACCTGGTGTCTCTACCCTCTGGTAGTGATAGGGGTTGACGCACACTTCATCCTTTTTAGTGTGGAAGGCAAATTCACAGTGGTCTACAGCCCTCAGCTCATGATGAGACTGCAGGTCTGGCCAGCGCCACAGGCGACAGTAGATCACATGAGGAAGACCTTTTCTGTGGGACACCTGCAGACGTCCATCTAACGACCTGAAATGTACGACCAGAATGTCATACGGTGTTCTGGAAGTTCTGATATTAAATGTCTGTTGGTGAATGCAGACCATGTTGGCAAATAACCAAGCCCCTTGTGGCAAATATTTTAACATTAATGCATTGTACCAGTAAAAGCAAAAAAAGATAAAAATCTGATCATTCTGTTACAGCATCCTAATTTTATTCATGTAATATTTCATCATGAGAAGAAAACAAAACTAATCCTTTTAAACTCATTTAAGAGTTTTATAACCAAATTTGTGGAAAACAGATAAGGAATTTCACTTAATTTATATAGTATTTAACCAGGATAAAAATCATTTAAAGATAGAAGTTGCATCTTAAAAAGAGAAATTAAATGCATACAACAGATATTTGATGACAAAAACAGCTGAACTAAAACTTTACATTATTCCTTTTTAAACACTGTGGTAGAACAGGGCTCTGTAACCTATACAAAAAAGAGTCACCCTACAATGGTGGTTTCCCTGATAAGCTATAGGATGCATACCTGTCTCTTTTGTGTTCTGTGACCTGCTGTGTTCTGCTTTGTCACAATGCACAAATATGCCAGACGTCCCTCCTGTTTAGTGGAAAACAAGGAATACAGATGTCCTGCTGCAACTTTTTCATTTCTGATACAATACCATGATTGCTGCTTTGAATCTGACCAATAGCAATATTGACCTGATTGGATATCAACACAGATCACACATACTTTTATTAATAATTAAAGAGAGAGGAATAGTAGAAAAGGCTTGATCAAATGATATTACTCAGAGTACAAAAATCAACAGCGATATGTATAAAAACAACTAACCTACTTGTATTAACTCATAAGTTACATGAACTTTAAAAAGAAGCAGACTGCTTCTATTAGCATGCTTAGATCACAGATTTTAGATGCAGGCAGATATATTCCAATATCTGTTTTTTTCTTTTTCTTTTGTATGATATCGGACCATATGCGATATAAATAGCAGATGTGCGATTACATCTCTCTAGTGGATTAAAAAGCAAAACTTTCCTATTTTGGACATTTAAAAAAATTCATTGAACAAAAATGTCTAATGGACATCTACATTTACATGGATTGTCCTGCAATCCATGTAAATGTAGATTAGAGCTGAAAAAACTAATAGGATTAATTGATTATTGAAATAATCGTCAACTAATTTAGTAAGAGAATTATTGTTAACTGGAGTATAGAGACTGTAAAACATGCCTTTAGCGGACAGAGTGAGCCAAAAAGAGCAGTAATTACGGTATATCGAAATTGTAAAATAAAATATAAACATTTTAGATAGAGCTGTCATAAACTATCTATAACTCCTCATATGGACAAGCTTGAGTTTCACCTGGTTTAATTTCATAAAAGATCTTCTTCAAGGAATCTTTGGATATCAGATTATTAATCGACTCATCGAAAAAATAATTGACAGATTAATCAATTCGCAAAGTAATCGTTAGTTGCAGCTCTAATGTTTATAATAACTTTTATCACCAACCATAGCACTGTTGCCAACCAAGTCAGAAATAGTAAGTAGGAGGTACTGAAGCTATCAGTACTATGCTCTTTTAGTAGGGTTCACTGAAGACACAACAAAATGTATAACAATCTATTTTCCTGGACAGATCAGTTTCCCTTATGGGGAATCCAAAGCTCAAACCTTAATAACAACCTTCCCCAAATGTAAACATTTCAGTCCAAACATCCTCTGTAAGCTGGAGCTCTGCAATGCCAGATTATTACAGCTGTGTACTATGACATAGGTTATCTCTGGATATAACCCTATAAAGCAGATGATGAACGGCAGCTAAACACAATACACGTTTAAATAGCAATAATAATTGAACTTTATTGATCTCACGTTGGAGAAATTGACTTCTGCATTTAACCCATCCCCTTGGATGAAGGTATAGGGGTGTAAATAATATTCGTTTTGTATCGATGAGGTTTTCATAGGCCTAGGTGGAGTACAACTTTGCTACTTCTGTTATTTGCTGTTGTTAAAATGCAAAACAATTTTACAGCTTTCATTGATTTATTTCAAAATTGAAACATTGTCTAGGCTGTAAGGTAAAAAAAAAAATAATCGAATCAAATTGTGGTGTATTCTTGAGTATCGAAAATAATTGATTCGTTGGGTGAGGAAATTTATACTGAAACGAATCACCATGATGGGGGTGATTTACACCCCTAATGAGGTACTGTATGGAGAACCAATCCTGCCATAATTAAAAAAATTACAGAAGGTGGGCAGAAAGGTGACCCTCTAGGACACACCCCTCCTCATTTGCATAATGAGGTAGAAATGCATACAGAAATGTAAATACGACAGGCAGAAATAAATAGCACGAAAGAAATAAATAGGGTAAAAAAATACAAAGAAAGAACGACACAGACAAAAATAATATCACATGCACATAAATAAATACTTCAAATAAGTAATACATAAATAAAGTTGAAGATTGTAACGGACAATAAGTAAATACGCTAATTATTACAAAGGCGAAAAAAGAAAGAAGCTAATTAAAAGAGATATATACATTTATGTCTCACTGTATAATTTCATTTCTACCTACATTTATTTATTTATTGTATTTTTGAGGGGCAATTAATGTATGCTCATTTATTTTTGAAGCATTTATTTATTTCTGTATTTATTTTTAATTATGGCAGGATTGCTCCTCCATAGACCTGATCCTGCAGTACAGATAAAGGTGCACAGTTTTATTTTGTTAAAAATACTTTACATTACAGTATTTAATTATTTATCTTTTAACTCTACTATGTTATTCTTATAAATTTTTTTAAGGTCCACATTTGTGTGACAATTTTTTCTATAATCTTTTTGCTTCTGTAAACACCAGAATTTTCCCATTGTAGGAAAATAAAAGGATTTTCTTCTCTATTCTATTCTATTTTATCTGGAAATGAATAGACTTTCATAAATGTGAAATACAGATATTATAACCCCATTATAGCACATTGTAAGATTATTTTAACCCTAAAAAATTGCAATAATAATTAGTATTATTTAAATTTCTGGTGTTTATTTTTTTTTTTATGTTTTGTTAATTATCTCTAAACATATTTTACACCCTTTAATAAATATAATGGCTAAATGTTTTAGCTATCAGGTGCTTTGGTAACACTGTGAGCTAATGCTAGCTCATGCTATCTAGCAGGCTGTGGGCTAACATTAGCTGTCATCATCACCATCAGCTGCTACTTAGACTGAGCTACTTGTGCGAGTTTGCTGCCAGTGGTTTTACCTGGGTATGGTTAAGCATTTAGTGTGGATATTCTGTGTTGTGATGGCCTTTTCCAATTCCTCCAGCTGCCCCGTCCTCTTCAGCTTCTTTACCAGACTTTTGACAGCCTTTTCGCACCATTTCTCCTCCTGTCCGTTTTGTTCTCCTTTCTTCCAGCCCAGTAGCCTCTTAACAATCGGAGGGGTGAACGGTAATATAGACATAATAAATGTCACCCAATTCAACTCGTTCCGGGGCTCTGGTTAAATTATAACCTCCAGGCTTGTAAAGTAACAGTTGGTTGTTCCTGTAATGAAGGTTAAGTAGGTCAGGTGCTTTCTGTCAGAGGCTTGTTACGCCTCTAGCAGCGGCTTGCTTCGCAACTCCTGCCCGTTCAGATTGTTTGTCTGTCGGGGAGAAATAACAGCAGCCAGTCCAGCCCGATTGTTCGCCTCCCTCCTCCTTCTCCTCCTCCTCCTTCCCACCAGTCAGCTGCTCTGGCCTCCACCTGAACCTCCAAACATTAAGATAATACATGCAATTAAACTGTTATTTACGGAAGGGGATTAGATCCGCTGAAAATATAAAAAAGTTTACTGATTTTTGAGTATTGTTTCAGTTTAATATTGGAAAAATTTCAGAATTCTGACTTTAATCTCAGAATTCTGACTTAATTCTCAGAGCTCTGACTTTTATCTCAGATTTCTGACTTTAATCTCAGAACTTTGAATTTAATCTCAGAATTCTGACTTTTTTCTCAGAACTTTGACTTTAATCGCAAAATTCTGACTTTAATCTCAGACTTCTGACCTTAATCTTAGAATTCTGACTTTTTTTCTCAGAACTTTGACTTCATTCACAGAATTCTGACTTTAATCTCAGAATTCTGACCTTAATCTCCGAATTCTGACTTTTTTCTCAGAACTTTGACTTCAATCACAGAATTCTGACTTAAATCTCATAATCTGACTTTAATCACAGAATTCTAAAAGGATTCTGACAGCCAACATTTTGCATAAAGCTGTAGCAATGTCTGTTTTAGAGACTAGCTCTCTTGTTTTAATGACCTTCTGCTCCTCCATTAATGAAATAGCATCACCTGGGAATCCTCGGACACGTAAAAAGTAGCCTAATTTTGTAATTTTTCACCAATGTGTTACTGACCCTACCAAACAACTCAGATCTTTGTCAGTGAAGGTGAGTGCTCCCATGTCTCATCCTTCATGGTGCCTATCTACATTAAGATCTAAAATTCTGAGATTAAAGTCAGAATTCTGAGAAAAAAGTCAGAATTCAGATTTCTTTTCTCATACTGAAATAAAAATTAAAAATCAGTTAACTTTTTTTGTTTTTTCAGTGGCCTTAATCCTCTTGCGTATTGATCTGCCTCTCATTATTCATCTGAATCGTCACCCTAAAGTATATCTATAGTCTATTTTTATTAACTGTATAGGTGCCGTCATGTGAAAGCCTCAAAAACCAGCAGGGCTGTTAGGGTTGATGAAGTTTAAATGAAGGTTTGAAGAAAAAACAATCAACTCTAGCTTTACACATCTAATGTAGATGCAAACTTACAAACAAGCTAAAACTAACAAGCTGAGCATTGATCCCTGAAGAATATAAGAGACTTTGGGTAATTTCCAGAGGTTGGTGAGTAACCCAAAGTTTTACTGAATTAAGGGCTGAACCACCTTAACTAATTCCCACTCATGTAAATGTAAAAAGTAACCTTTTGAAAAAAAAAGGAATCAATAAAGAGTAAAGGAGTATTTAGAAAAAGATTTTACTAACTACTTAGTAAGTGATCAGAGCATCTGATTTACTTAATACACTTAAGAACAAAATATTTGTAAAAATGTGGTATTTTAACAACTAAAATAAAATAATACAAAAAGCAAATAACAAAAATAAAAAGGAAAAAAACAGAACAGAACAGGGAAAAATCAGTGATGTTATACACTTTTTGTGATCTCCATGTCTCATGAAAGGCTAAGCGAATAGAAGGAACAAATAGAAGAAAAAGTGAAACTTTTACTGGGTGTATTTATAGGTAAAACAGGTTTGTTCTTCATTTGGTAAAGCCAATGATTTAACACAAGTAAGAGTAGCGATACTTAATAAATATTACTGAATTTAAAGTTAAAGTATGGTGGAGTAAAACCTATCCTGAAAAAGTCCATTCTTATAAAAAGCTAAAAAATAAATGTGACTGAGTAAAAGTTACTATTTACTACTTTACTTACCTTTGGTAATTTCAGAAGAGCTACATTAATGCCCACCAATCTTAATAAAATAATCTGAAGTTTGAAGATGCAATGTGACAAAATGGAAAAAAAATACTTAAGAGATGTGAATAATTTTGCAATACTAAAATTAGTCATCTTTTGAATATTTTATTTTATCTTAACCAAATCATCCCCTGTCTAATGGATTTCTATAAATTATTTTTAACACCTAGAAACATGTTTTGGTTATTCAACACCAAGCTCAAGGAAATGGAAAGAGAGATCTGTCATCATTGAAAAATGATCCACCCCTCCTTCTGTGTAAACAGAAATAAAAACCTCCTCTCTAATCCCTCTGATCCTCATAAAAGTGATTAGATTTCCCTTTAATATGTTTTTTTTTTCATAACTGGATGAGGAGGATGACCAAACTCGGGGGTATTTGTGACTGTTATGGCATTGATAGGTGAGCTCCTGGCTGCAGTCTTCAGTTAGCAGTGTTTCATTGCCATTAAAAGCTGCCTCAGAGGATCTACCCCTCTTCCTGTTCTCTATTTATAACCTATGCCAATGACTCTTATCTATTTTAAGCACATATTTGGCATGGCAGATAACTTCCTTCCTAAATAAATATTAGAGCAATCTTGGCAACGTTGAAGGAAAACCAGTGTAGGATTGTTAAGGATACCTTGACAAGTTCCTTCTGAACAGTCAAGAAGAAAGTTTTTTATCTGGAGGCACAAAATAATAAATGCAGTCATCACCAATAAAAGGGTTGCAAAATACATTTTTCGAATAATTAACATTTTATGAATTATTGTAAAAATACGTTTTCTTTACAGTTTTAGAAAATATATGTATTACAAAACTTATATCTGTGATTTGCTGATTCAGTGATGCTAGAGTTAACACTCATGGGGCAGCACCTTTTACTGCTTTGGGATATGAGCTGGACAGCTGCTAAGGGGGCCTTTGTATGTGTTAGACAAGGGGGCAGATGGGCCATGGTGGGGCAGGGAAAGGTCTTAGAAACAGAGGGTGGAATGATTTCGGACAAAAGATGCCGGCTGACTGAATAAGAAATAGATGCTGATGATCTGACTGATAACAATGACACAGGGTAGGTTTGAAGAAAAAGTGTGAAAATAAAGGGCAATGCTTTAAATGAGTCCTGGGATGCTGTCACAGAAAACAAGCAGCTAGGATATGTTATACACTTTGCAAATATAGAGAGAGTTTGGAATGAAATTTGTAAAAGTCTCTGTTTTGCAGAGCTTTCATGATTCAGTTGTAGTCACAGTTCACTTTAAGAAAAAATCTGATATTTAAATGAAGTCATATTTACTTTTCACTAACTTAATATTTCATAATAGCTTAGTGCAACAGCATGTTAGGAGCATTGCTCCAGCTTGTTTCTTAATCTTTCTTTGCACTGCAAGATGTAATCTTTTGCTTGCATTCACCAGTCTTTCAGTGGAAGTTCCAAATCTGGGGCATCATGATGACTTGTCTCATGCTTATTCAACCAACCCCCCATCCTTCTTGTCTCTGTCACTGATAAATGTGTCCTCACATTTTTGTCTTCCATTAAATTCAGACCTATGGGAAGAAGCAACTTTTCACCTTTTAACCTGTATTCTTACCTTTTTTTAATAGTTTTGTTAATTTCTAAGATTTAGAACGTTTTCTTCTTTTGTCTAAATCAATTTATTACCATTTCCCTTTTTGTAATTTGATCACATTATATATATATATAAAAAAATAACTTTAACTGTGCATGAATAGATATTGATTTGTGCTTGACCCATTTTAACATCCACACTTCTCCACACGGCTTGAGAAAAATTTGTAAACACACAGAAATATGGTCCATAAATATCACTACAATCAATACACTGAGAAGAGTTCTTGGAAATAAACTACTGCCACTGTTGGATGATACAAAGGTGCTTTAAAATGTTGAAAACAGCTTTGTTTTCTACTTGTACTGTGTTCATGCTCATGTAAGGCAGCTCAGCCCTGCATCTCTGATAGAGCTGATAATATAATAAAGCGAGCAACTAATTGAATTCCTCTTTTTTATTCATTTATTTATTTTGTCTATTTCATTTCTCAGAACCTGATTGGTGCTTGTGAAATCCTACCATACTGGTTTCCCAACATGACACAGCCACAATAAAAAAAAACATCTTTTTTTTTTTTTGCATTTTTTTTTTATGCGTTCTTGACAGTAATTGACACAATTATTAAAAAAAAAATGCATTTTTTACACACACAAAAAAAGAAAATTGCAGACATAAGGTCCCCTAGTATCACAAGGCCCCATGAGGTCTTGATGGATTATGAGTAGGAACAGGGATGAGGTGAGAAGCATTTTAAAGGTTGAGGTTAAAAGAACATAACAGAAAGTCATCTGGATATAAGTAGACTGTTTAATGATTAGATGTGTGGCTGAGGCATGCTCTTGCTCCTGAACCAAGGTCAACATATTAACTTTTTTTTAGTGAGATGTATAAGCAACGTTTTTTCTGGCCCTGCATATTGATCCCTGACCTTTTTGCTGTAATACCTGCTTGCTATTTGTTCAATGATTCAATGACTTCTAAATTTCCACCAAACAGCTGGATTAGTAAGTATGAATGTAAATGAAAATTTTCAGTTTTTGAAAACCATGATCTTTTTTTGCTGGTCTAGCCTAAAATCCTTTTAAAATACTTGGAAGTTGAAAGTGTTGTTGTTCTGGGTATGCTCTGGGTTTCCCTTTAATTTAAATGTCATTGTCATCTTTCCGAAATAGACATTATTTTGCTGTTAATTCTCATTGGTTTGCTATAAACCCTATTTTGAAACTGCATATTGAAGATGCAAACAAAACGAACTATAGAAATTAAATCAAGATGACAGTATACCCCCACCTAGTGGCTTTTTTCTGTTGATACAACAGTTCCATCAGATTCTCTCCCTCACACAGACAGCTGGGAGTTGTTGGTTCAAGAAAAACCCTATTGTTCTTACTTAATAACATTTTTCTATAATGATGGATATTCTTGTCTTTTGTGTTATTACGTGAGTTAAATGATAGACTAAAATGAATACAAGTACAATTAAGAAAAATGTTGATTTGGTTTGTCAACATGTCACACAATGTTTAGATACTAAAATTAAATACAATAAACATCCATTTTATTCACAGCACATTCATTTTATCCCTTTAATCTCCATTCTTTCTGAACAATTT